TATCTATCATCTCATATCCAACGCGCCCTCATGGAATAATTGTTAAATACACAGCACAAAACACAATAAGCTATACAGGTTAATAAAGGTCTGTTTAGACATAACAGTTAATGATTACCCATTTCTGACCTTAAAAAGTGACCCTTCATGGGATTATTATACCAAATCCTGCAAGCATGCACACTTTTCTTTGACCTCCTACTCTAATATTATTGTTTGTTTTGTGCATACTATTCTTCTAGCTGAAAAACGTTTTAGTGGTGGTGAACGAAATGGGCTCGACAGCCCCAAGGCCTCTGTGACACACATTGTAACACCCTCTGCACAAAATAGCCAGCTACAGCGTGCAAGAGATCTGGACAGCAGACAGTCACGTACAGCGTCAACAGCAACTAAGGAGCTGGATGACCTGATGGCATCCCTGTCAGATTTTAAAGTTAATGTGTCTGCTGCTCCCACACCAACTCAAGCAAGGTTAAGTGGAGATTATGCCAAGCCCAGTAAGGCTAAACCACCCTCTCCAAGTAAGTTATAAAATAGTGTTCCTTGAGATCAGGGCTGTCAGCCAGAACTGCCGGCTAGTTAGCCATCCTTTGCCAGCTACTTTCATCTCCTTCGAACCACAGGTAGCCCAAGCTCACTATGAGAGCCCTGAACAACATTATCCTACTTAGCTAATTAATTATTCATACAGCAAGAAAATTATAAGACGTTGTATGGAGAAATATTCTTTGCTCACTAAATTAGCAAAATGTACATTGAATATCGCTTTGAAGCTTACCTTTAGCATCTTCTTGTTTTTCTTTGTATTCTGACTGCATTTCAGACCTCCTAGGCACTCTTTAAGGCCTTTTTTGGAGCGACAGTTTTTCACCCAGATGACAGTAGAGAGAAGAGAAGAGAAGGTTGGCAAACCTCCTCTTGACCGGCTCCGCTCTCGGTGGCGATAAATTCCGTGACATTTGCGACATGGAGACAATTCCGCCAGAAGCAGATGTCCTGATAAATAACGCACATTTTCCATCATTCACATCACCAAAATTCCCATTTCGAAGGTCCTAAATCGCCAACAAAGTGAGCAGTACCCGGCTGAGGTGTAATGTGAGAAGTGCAATGTGAGAAGTGAAAAATCCATGATCAGTTACTGTGCCCAGTAGGCTAAATGCTCCAATATTGTCCTTTGACGGTTGAACAATTTGACCCTGCCAGCCCGCGTCAGTTTGAAATTGTCGACTTGACGGTTGGACTCCGTTGCGGGTCTGCTCTCGACTCGCCTAACCTCAGCCGTGTATTGCTCACTTCGTTGCCGATTTAGGACCTTCGAAATGGGAATTTTGGCGATGTGAATGATGGGAAATGTGCGTTATTTATCAGGACATCTGCTTCTGGCGGAATTGTCTCCATGTCGCAAATGTCACGGAATTTATCGCCACCGAGAGTGGAGCCGGTCAAGAGAGGTTTGCCAACCTTCTCTTCTCTTCTCTCTACTGTCATCTGGCTGAAAAACTATCGCTCCAAAAAAGGCCTTAAAGAGTGCCTAGGTCTGAAATGCAGTCAGAATACAAAGAAAAACAAGAAGATGCTAAAGGTAAGCTTCAAAGCGATATTCAATGTACATTTTGCTAATTTAGTGAGCAAAGAATATTTCTCCATACAACGTCTTATAATTTTCTTGCTGTATGAATAATTAATTAGCTAAGTAGGATAATGTTGTTCAGGGCTCTCATAGTGAGCTTGGGCTACCTGTGCTTCGAACCACCGTGTGATGTCGTGGAATGCCTGCAACATTTTAATGGCATTGTTCCCAGTGTTGGGAGTATTCTGATGAAACAAGCATCCACGGTTACCTCTTGAAAACCCCTGGAAATGCCATTTCTGAGACTCTAAATTTCAAAATGTCCCTAGATGCCTTGGCCTTCAAGAACTTGTGCCTTTGGCGTGAGTTCCAAAGCCACCCCCGAAACCCATCAAGATTTTGAAAATGGCCCTCTAGCAAAATAGCCCCCCCTCCCCCACCCCATCACAGGTAATAAACAACCAGCCCCTAAATCAATCAATTCTTCATGACCTCATAGTCAGGCTTTCATTATACAGTAGAACCTCAATTCAGGCGACACCATGGCTGCCATGAAGAGGCGGGGGCTGGGGATTTCCCCTGGCTATTATGAATTTGGCCCCCGGCTACATTCATAGGAAAATAGAAGAAAAATAGAACCAAGAGAAATCCCTAGCTGCAACGTGAAATCATAGTGACATCCCTGGGACACCCTTGAGACCAAGGTAAATGTCCCTGAAAAGAGAGGTGTCCCTTGAATGGAGTCTGGGCTGGGGTTTGGTAATAATTAACCAACAAATAAAATTTTTTTTTGTTCTTCCTTGGAATCTGCTTCAGTTATTATTTCAAGCCGCTAGAGAATGTATTAAAAATTTGTCATTGTTAGTGATATTGTGTGTTAAATTCCCACAAGTATTGGTACACCAATATATTAACGAGTTAGCAGTGATTTGTGGTGTGAAATTGGTCATTTTTCTTACTACTGTTTACGTAAACTTATCCAACCTCGTTCCCAGAGTTCTCTCCTACCCGCCCTACGGAGCGAGAGAGAGAGAGACCCTGGAAAATGCTGGTCACATGGCTCCAGAATGAAATTAATTCTGAGGGAGGAGTCCTTTGTCTCATATTTTTTTGTCTGGTTTATTCGCAACGTTCATGCAGTGATCGCAACAGCAGGATAGATTTGCTAACCCTACTAGAACTGTAACTGAAACTAAGTGAAACTTCTGCCTAAACGGAACTATCAGACAGATAAACAAGTGAATTACCGGAGAAGGGATCAAAAACTAGTGTTGTCGCTGGGTTAACCGATGACACCAATCGCTAAAAATCTACGAGCTTGAGTTATACACAAGCGAGTTAATTTTTTGAAGGTAAAATCCCTGTATCTTGCACTTCTATATTAAAAGTTTCAATGTTTGTCTGACAGCGGCTGGTAATCGGGCCAAATAAACGTACACCATTTGCGGTCTTAGCGGTTCGGCGTGACAAACCCCCGGCACAAAACATGGCAGTTAAATTGAGAGCAAGGAGTTCAGTTAATACATTTACGATCAAAGTAATATTTTAGATCTAGTGACTTCACGGAAAGCTATAGCCTAAAATGTCAGCATTTTCCACCCCCTAACCTTTGTTATGATGCGGCAATAGAAAAGTGGTAAATAGATCAAAGATAAAAATAATTATATACCAATGCAACGTGGAAGACAACAGGAAGTAGTATAAACAGAGACAAAACAGACAACATAACCTGCATAATAGTAATCTTAAAAACACATACAGATACTGTACATTTGTTTTCTAAAGTGGCCTACTCAACATAGCTACGGCAATTCAAATGTAGTGCGTTTCGGTATGAATACTACTACCAAGTAGACCAGGATACCTAAATGATTTTTGACTGCACAAACGGTGAATCCTCCTCGATTTCCATTGCATGTGCCAAATGAAAGCATCACTGATAAACATCCCATCAACATCCAGATATTCTGCAGGAAGTTACGCTTTTGCTGTCAAAGGATTTTGTGCATTATTGTCGGCGTTCAAGATCAGTTCAGGTACACAGCTTCACGGCTGCACTGACCTGTCTACGCTCTGTAGAGACAAATCTCACAGTTACCTGCCCCTCCCCCAAATCGTTTGTTTGTAATCTCCCAGATTTTGGGAGACACGTGACCAGGGTTTTCCAGGGTCTCTCTCTCTCGCTCCGGAGGTCGGGTAGGAGAGAACCCTCGGAACGGGGTTGAAACTTGTCAACCGTTTTTGTGGTCGGTCATGTTTTGAGTGCGAGTGTCGTCTGAATGGAGTGTAAACCTGTGGGTTTCAGGAGCCAGAAAAGTGTCATTTTTCTCCTGAGGCACCCCTTCCACGGAGGAACAGATATAAAGATTATGTGAACATTTTTCCAGGACCAAATAATGTGTCCCCTGAATGGAGGTGTCCCTTGAAATAGATTTGTCCCAAAGGATATGTTGTACTCTATTTACTTTATCATTAGATGGACAGAAATGTCAGATGTATTTTCAGTGGATGGTAATGTAAATATTCTTAAGCCAGTCATGTAGAACCCTAGAAAGGGGTTTTTCACCACTTTTGCTCTGACTGCTTCTTCAATCTTTGACAAATTTAGTGAATTAAAAAAGACGTTGCTTATTTTAATGATCCTTAAAAGATGAATTATTTTTGCTGTCTCATTAATTCATGTTGTTTGTATTGAACATTTGTTTATTTTAAAACCTTTTAGGTGTTGGCAAAGTAAGCCAGCTAGACTCCATGTTAGGAACACTTCAGTCTGATATGACGAGACAGGGAGTCAGCACAACAAAGAAGGGGGAATGTGCGGCCTGCAACAAACCAATCATAGGCCAAGTTTGTACGGCACTGGGTCGTACTTGGCATCCTGAGCATTTCACGTGTGTTACTTGTGAAGTACCTTTAGGTGCTGCTAACTTTTTTGAGCGGGACGGAAGGCCTTTTTGTGAAAGAGATTACCATGAACAATTTGCTCCAAGATGTGCTTACTGTAGTGGTCCTATCCTAGATGTAAGTTTTTTATTTTTCTTGTTTCTTGTTTGAAGGCATGTGCATATAGAATACAAACTTTTAAGTCTGTCTACAAAATCGTGTGGTGTGACCATTCAAATGAAATCCTGGCCCTTCAGAGGTTCATCCTTGTGGATATATTACAGGGCAAATTTGATTTCAGGTTAAAAATTGTCCTTCCTAGGTTGACTCTCAATATTTGGTTTGTCTACTAGAGCTAGGTGTCAAAGGAAATTGTGAATCAATCTAGGTTCAATCAAAATTAACCTGCAGTTTAATTTGAGCAGCAACAGATGCATGAGATTTTAGAACTTTGTCTTACAAAAGAGTTAAAATTATGAGTTATCAGTGCAAACATTTAACTTATCCTTCTTTTACAGTCCTGTGTGACAGCACTTGACCAGACTTGGCATCCAGAACACTTTGTATGTGCCAGCTGTGGCCGGCCATTTGGTGACTCTGGTTTTCATGAGAGAGATGGCAAGCCTTTCTGCCGAGAAGATTACTATGCTATGTTTGCACCTCGCTGCGGAGGCTGTGGTCAGCCTATAATGGATAACTACATCTCTGCTCTTAGTGCACACTGGCACTCAGAATGCTTTGTGTGCGCGGTGAGTTATTATGATACTTGCAGCTTTGCACTTTACCAGCAATTTTTACGTCACCTCATCAGTGTTGAAGGGACTATTTCAGGCTGGCTATTTGCAGCTATCATTGCAAGAAGCCAAAATGTGATTTGCATCCATTGAACTCCAAAAATAATGGGCCCATTTTGTTGTTAAAGACTATATGTACATTTGGACACTGGCGCTGTTTCCTCTCATATTTTGCAACAGATGGCAAGAATTCAAAATCAATTTGTTTTAAGAATCACCAGAAAATTATGATGGTTAGTGATCCCTCGTTAAAATTGTTTGATATCTCCGTCATAACTCAGCTACAGGAGCATTTTGTGTGTGGGTAAAGGCATTTATGCAACATTATTTAAGTACATGTTTTCACTTACGGCGATTAGAAACTACACCATCTCATTTATATCATCGTCAATATGCAACCTTTCGATTTTCCAGTCTTAAAGTCATAGTTTGACTCCTGTTGGGAAATCGCGGGGGTATTTTTTTCCCAAGGTGTTTGTGGCGATGGCTAAAATGAAAACAAGCATTCTCCACGTATGTATGTCTTCTTTAGTGCAGAAAGTAAAACTGGAGACCTCACCGCATTATGACGCAGAAAATTCAGCTGGAAAATTATTCGAAGTTAATCTTTGGTCTTCTCCTCGTTGCAGGAATGTCATCAAGCTTTTCCTGGAGGAAGTTTCTTTGAGCATGATGGTCGGCCGTACTGTGAGATGCACTACCATTCTCGACGTGGCACTCTGTGTTACAGCTGTCAAAAACCCATCACTGGCCGATGCATTACAGCCATGCATCGTAAATTTCACCCTGAGCACTTTGTGTGCGCATTCTGCCTTAAGCAACTTAACAAAGGCACCTTCAAAGAACAGAATGATAAACCTTATTGCCATCCATGCTTCATAAAACTCTTTGGGTAGAAAGAGGAGTCAACCGTGGTCATCAAGCTGCTGCAGCTACTTTCTATTTTATTTTGTTTTTGTTTCATTTCTGTGTGAACAGCTGTTTGTTTTCATTCGAGAATTTTGAAGAAAACAATCAAATCATAGACTCGAGGACATTTTTTCAAGGGATGCAAATAATTTTAGTATTTTCACTGTCATAGTAGCATGAGTCACTATTATGATAACCTAATGTCGAAGTGGGGACAGTGATTTCACGGTGAAAACGTGAAGTTTAGAATAATTACACAAACTTTCCTTGCTATTCCTTCCTGCTGCGGTTATGCTACTAATTTGTTACAGTGCCTCCAAAAACATACACAGATTTACAGGTCCATATTTTCTGGATGGTGGTTAGTTATGACTTCTGGGTTGCTGTTGTTAAGAGCCATTCCCTAGACATAACACCGCTTTCACGGCTGGCAATTTTTGGTTGATCCATCCGGCCAAATTGTCTAGGCACCCAAAGCAATGTGATGACAATTAATAAAAGAGGTTATCTATGAAGTTAAATTGCATGTAACTGCAAACAAAATCAGATGTTGTCACAAGACACCGTTAATGAGGTACAATCTGTATCAAAAAAGTACGTGAAAATTATTATTACAAAGAACTGTTCAAGTTTTTAAGAGAGATTCAAAGACATTTTTATGAAAACAAATTTAAGCTAAGTTTCTTGGGTTCTCATGACATGCCAACATTGACCTGTACCGGTTTTCAGTAGCCAGTGTTTGGCCGTCTGAGCTGCTAGAGAAGCAACCTGCTAGCAGAGCTTTCTTTAATTTCACTTGCTCGGTTTCAGCGCAGTCGATCGAGAATAAGATAAAAGGAGGCTCTGTTTCGTGGGGTCCTATTGATGATAATTTACGAAGATTTTCTAAAATAATGCATGTAATTATGATAATTTCAGGCCGACTGAAAATGGAGGCGGTGTGCAGTGCAAGAACCCAAATAATTTCATTGCAGTACATGTTGCTTACATGTAGTGTCAATTCTTTCAGAAGCATATGACTGCGATTATGACTGTAATTTCCCTTTGTTGCGCTTCGTTTACATTGCGATACAAGATTTTCCTAAGCGCTCACGCGACAGTCTCGCGTATCAGTAATTCCTCATTAGGAAGTAAATTGTGATTGGTTCTCCAACGGAGTCATACGCTTCAGGGTTATATGCTTCTTTTTCTTTCAATGTTAAAATATCAATTATCGTTATAATAGTTATCATTGCACTATCTTAAAAGCCGACCTCTAATATTATACCATACAGGTAAATGATTAAACGCATTTCAAAGCATACGGAAGTTGTATTCTCCTTTTTCTGCATTCATTTATTGGTGCATGGTTTTGATTATTTGCGGGAAGGGAACAACCATGGCCACGTCCATACGTATCTGTTTTTGTTTATAAACGGAGAGCTTTCCCCCGTTTCAAACAAATCCGCGTCCACACGTTGCGTTTTTGAGTCGGTTTTGCCCGTCCAAGCGAAAATTAACTGAAAACGGTATCATCTTTGATGGGAGCATGCGCACAAACTAATATCTGAGCTCGTGACTTTCGTGACCACCCTCGTAGCCAGCGTCTTCGTTCCCCTTGACCAGCGGCCTCGTCCCGTCAAGCTAGCATGCGCAGTAAGGGACAAAGACTCGAGGGCGAATTAAAAACATTTCTACAACGATCTGATGAAACCACCCCTGAAACCACCCCTTCCGTCATTTCTTATAATCCAGCATTACCTAACCTTGCGCATATCATTCACAAGCATTTTAACGTGCTGTACTCATCAGATCGTTGTTGAAATCACGGTTTTTAAAAACCTTACGTTAGTAGCTTATCGCCGTTGTAAAAATATTAGCGACATCCTTAGAGCCCAGTTAACTAACAGTACCGATACCGGTAACTCCTGACCCACCCCCGGTTCCTTTCGGTGCAACAACAGGAATTGAACATGGCTGTAATCAATACACTTTTCCTTCTACCGGTGAGACCTACCACATCAAATTTCATATCACTTGTGAAACTTTTAATGTTATCTTCTTGATTCAAGCTTTTCGAGTGTTCTCCCAACATCCCAAGTGTATACCTGCCAACTTTTTCTGAGATGTAGGCGTGAGATTTTTATCCTGGGAGTGCTGGGATTTTTGAAAACGACACGATCATTTCCGAAGATTCCCGAAGAAGTCCGAAGTCTTCCGAAGACGTCCGAAGTCTGCCGAAGGCGAAGTTATCGAGAAAACACTTATCCACAAAATCAGAGATCGCGAGGAAGGTATTGTCATTTATTCATTTTACACATGGTTTTCGTTCCTTACATGGGTCTGAGTACATATTTTTGGAAATTGTGTCAAGCAAGACGGCAACAACTCACATTTTTCAATCAGGCGTGAGAAATTGGTCCGCAGGCGTGAGCGGGCGTGAGATCGAAGTTTTCAACCCGCAGGCGTGAGACTCACGCCTAAGGCGTGAGAGTTGGCAGGTATACAAGTGGGTTATCACCTCGGTAAACCCATAGAAAGTGTGGTCTATTGCTTTTATAAAATAACTTTTAGTAGAATGGAGTCTTTTACGTAAAAAATATGGTTTTAATACCTTGATCAAGTCATGTCTTCTCTCTAAAGTCATCATAAGCCAATCATGACTCACGATTTAATAGCGCTGAACTTTCTCCAAACTCAGTTCAATCAAACAACAAACAGCAGCACTTCAAAACACGAGTTTTTGCACTCATTACATGATAACTTATGAAAGCTGTTTTACAGGAAAAGTCAACATTTATTCAAGCGAACGTATAATGAAAAAATACGTTCATGGTTTGTTTACTACTGAAGTAGAAATTAATTGAACATCAGACTGTACGCCGCTGTATTTTGTTGAGTCGATCCGTAAGAATTTCGTGCTTACAGACGGAACTGGCAGCTATTGTAATGGAGGACTTCATTCACATAGTACAAGCCGCAGTGGTTTAAGATCTGTTTTCTGGACTTTATTATGATTAAGAAATGCTGCGGTAACGACGTGGCTGCATTTGCGAAGTTGTCGCATGTAACTTTTATATGCACGGACAGCAACCGATGGAAATATGTCACTGGTGGAGAAAGGTTTCTTTGCCGTAGCCACAAATTGTCGTTAATACTTGTCGATTTGTAAAGTCAGGTGGTTTGAGGTAGGTTATGGCATCGATATCACCGAATAATTTGTGCAAATGTTGAAAAAAACCAGCCCGAAACTCTGACATCTTTCATCATCGTTGGCAGCTTGTTTACAACCTACAGCGGCCGATTTTGTACCATACCTTGATCAGAGATCTCTTTTTGGAACAATTTCTTTCATTAAGGAATTTAATTTTGACATAAAATAAATAAAGAATGCTAAAACTACCCGTTTCGTTGCTGGTTGGCACATGGTCAAGTTTTCCTGGAGACTTTCTACACCAGAAATTCACACAGTTGTTGTCTTTCTCTGCGATTTGGCATCGTCGTGAAATGTAAACTGCTTTCCAGCTTTCTACTTTATTACTTCTAAAGCTATGGCAGAAATAAAATGTGGAAACCAACGCTTTTGATATTAAGAAGGGCTGGGTAAGTAACTTGTTCTTTTTTTTAGCCTTTCTAAAATCATTGTTTGCAGATCAATAGCCGGTTTTGTTTATGGCTCGTGGTCCGGATGCCTTTTTCTATGGGTTTACCGGTATAATAAACCATAGGTTTTTGACCAATCAGATCACGCGTACTGTCTCAGTTATTTTATAAAAAAGGGTAAACCTCAGGGTGGATCCTCCCCCAATCAAACTTTGTTGAGTGCTCCCGGGTATTTATCTAAAGTCAAAAGTAAACCTAAACCATCAACAGCTGATCAAGGCGAAAGGTTTTTGAAAGTTTCATAAAAGAGTCCTAAACTTGGAAGAGTGACCACCAAATCACGCGATATCACGTGCCTCAGACTAAAGGTCTAGAGTCCAAGTGTTTAAAGTCAAAAAGAAGGAAAAAGGACAAAACCAGACACTTGGCAACGGTGTACACTTTTGAGTCTTCAAGTCTTATGTTACTTAAAATCCTCGTGTAGACGACAACTTTAAAATTTACCTAACAACAGTCAAGCAGAGACAAGCGAAAGCTAGTCGCTACCTTAACTTGTCACTGACTATCCAATGACTCAGCTAGTACTACTTGGAAGATGACAGGTCATTGACTATAGATCAAAGGCTATCGTTTATAAGTTTTGAAACTAACGATCCTCGGACTTACTTTCTTATCAACAGTCTTTTTCTATCGCTACCTACGGAGGGTCGCTTCTTTCGCGGGCACCTAAAGCATGCCGATCATGCATGTGCTCTTCCAAGTCAGGTAACAAAATCCACACCCATAGGGAAAGTTCATTTAATATGACAAGGGGGGGGGATGAAGATATTGAAACTCGAAGCTTGAAATTTTAGCAGCCCCCCTCACTAGCGGTTCAATTTTTTAGGAGCCCCCTCCTTGGTAGTCGAAAAAATTTCAGAGCCCCCCCCCTCCTCCTTCAATTCCTTTGCTCCCCTGAAAAAAGATCGCTAGACTGTATTAAATATATTTACCATTATTGTCTTCAATGGTTTATACTATGACAAACTTGAGATACAGTTGTGATACAATTTTCTAAAGCATTTTTAGGATGAACAAGAGTGTAATAATTACTGAGACTACATTTGTTATATCTGTAAACCACGTGATATAGCTGAGTTGCACAGGTCATTACAGTCAAACCAGGTGAAGCGTTCCCGTTGCTAACGAACTAATAAATTCATTAACGGAAAAATGATTTCGTTTATTGATTCAATAATCCATTCATAAAATGAACAATCCCATATTCATATTTAGCCTCGATTCCATAATCGAATGTTGATTCGATTACTGTTTTTAGAAAAACTACACTTTTTTTTTTCTCCTTTTTTTTAGAGTCGAGTTCGGGCGAGTTCTGAATTTCAAACCCAAACAAACTGTTACATGTACGTCATTTTGTTTCCAGTATTCACTGCAACGGACCTGACCTCTTAGGAAACACGATAGTGAAACTAAGGTCAGTGTATGTGCGGTGATTGGTGGATTTCGATCCCCGGCCTTTGTCAGTTTCTTTGCGTTTGCGGTCTGTCTCTTCTAGCTGTTATTTTGATTAAAGGCAATTACAAACGCAATCGTAAACGGCAGGAAAAGGGAAGCAAATACGATTGAACTCAACAGGCAAGAATAAAGAACAGGTAGATTTTGTTAATAAACCAAATCAACATTTAATTATTGAATTGAGGTCCAATTTGATTGTTGGATTATTCATTTTATGAATGGATTATTGAATCAACAAAAGAAATCATTTTTCCATTAATGAATTCATTAGTTTGCTAGTGACGGGAACGCTTGACCTGGTTTGACTGTAAATTGTTGAGTTGAAAACCATCCGATTTGTATGATGATGTCATGTGTTGGTTTTGAAGTATACAAATTTTCGGAGCCCCCCCTCCTAGCGCAACAATTTTTTCAGAGCCCCCCCTTCGGGTGTCTAAAAATTTTCGGAGCCCCCCCTCAATATCTTCATCCCCCCCCTTGTCATATTAAATGAACTTTCCCATAGTTTCGTGTACTGTTGTTGATTTAGTAACAGTACTTACTGGCTGAAACAAAAGTATTTAACTTTGAGGGTTTTCTTGGAATTGTTTTGCTTTTCGAATTTGGATGTCAAAGATCATTATAATCGTTAAAAATAAACCTTGGGTCATTTTGGGATAGCTTGTTTTATCTATCCTGATTTCCATTATTTCTTGCAAAAAGGGAAATTACTTAAACGGAGAGTTCTGTTTTTAGACCAGGGTCGCTACTTTCGCGATTTGCTAACACTTGTGAAATTTCATCCTTACTTCAAAGAGTCATCAGAGTCATTACTTTCGGGGGTCGTTACTTTCGAAACGTGACGGTATCTGCTTAAAAGTTAGGCGATATCATCATATGATCAGGTCAAGTTTCTCATTTTAACACATGTTGTCAGATCCTCAAACGGATGTACTCTGTATGTCAGTAAATTTTATCATTTGACAAATATTCGGAGCGGTAAGTTTAATAACTTCTTGTTTTGTCACCAAAAAGTTTAACACAATCTTCTTTCACGGCGTAACAGTTTCTCTAGCGGACGTTTTGTTCAAATAATGTCAAGGGAGGCTGCCAAATGGGATTGGCAGCTCCACTTCATGAGAGCCAATCAAATGTAAGATACCGTGGAATTTATCTGTGCGGTAGTGAAGAACCTGCGATTATTCTATCGCTTGTGTCTGGAGAAAGTGGAACACTGGCAGGTAAAAAGGCATTTAAATAGGAACGATCTGATGATTCTCAGAAAAAAAGTGATATTAATGGTGGTGAGCTGTGAGAGTAACCGTGGGCTGTAGTTCTTTTGTCCCTCCACCCGAACGGAGCTTGTTAGACAAGACTTCCGGAACTGTACTGGTGTTGAGAAAATAATGGGAGATTTTCTTGGTCACGCGGTTCCTGGAGCTATGCTTTTGTTATTATCGATCTGGTGGTTCATGGGCCCGCTTCTTCAAGCCCGCAAAAATTCAAAAACTCTGTCTTCCAGGCGCGGATTGCTTCGGTCGCCCGGTTCTTCATATGTTCAATTGAAATCAGAATCTCCCGTGTGGTACCCCTGTCCCGGGCGATGTTTGTCTAGAATCCCGGTGGAACCTATCATCAAAGTCCTGTCGGGCATCGTGGGCGTTGTTGGAGAACTGTTTCTTGACGGCTCGTGGATCTTGATCGACGAGAAAGGGGAATTCGTCGACGAACATATTAATAATCATAGTCACACAGTTATGTACTGTTTCTTTAGTCTTTCTGGTATAATAGATCTTGTCCTATGGCATGGTAAAACACCTTTACCACCAAGGATCGATTACATTATCCTGTCTACATGCTTTTGGATCGAGGGTTTCTTGTTTTATTTTCATCTTCGAGGACATTCAGAAATCAGTATGCGTTTACACATCATTCTTTACATTTTAATTTTCATAACTGCTTCAGTAGTTTTAGTGGAGTCATTTTTAAGGCGACATCAATTACTTTTTAGCTTAATAAGGGCTATTTTAACAGGAGTCCAAGGCAGTTGGTTCTTCCAGATCGCCTTCGTTCTCTACGGACCGAACGCATGGAAGGATAGTCCTCGCAATGTAGAATTTTTGTCGATTGCTTTCGGCTGGCATTTGTTTATTTATGTATGCGTGGCGCTTGTTCTCTTCGTCGCATGTCATCTTTGTTGCGGGAAAATTCACCCTCATCATGACGATCGTCAAGAACAGTTGCGAGATGTACTGCTCTCGGATGAGGAGGAAGAAAGTTTTCCTTTAGAATCACAGAGACAATACAATAATTCACAAGCAGAATCATAGTGCACTTGTTTATTTGCATAAACAGTATCTATGCCAGCTACTTGCCCATAGGCACAAAAAGATAGCTATCAATGGTAACACCAGGTGTTCTGTAAATAGTCCACCGAACAATCCCGCTACAACTAGCTCGAGTAATTTTCTGACTGAAAACGTTGAACACGCACTCGCGTAGCGCGAGTAAAAACTCGATACACAGTTAATGACTACATGCACGTACACAACCATTGCCGAGTTGCGGTTTAATGAGACCACTCTTCGTCAACAGAGATAACTGTTGAAGCAAAAATGGAATATATTACCCATTCATAAGGTCATATCAGTGAGAATTTTTCCGCTCTACGAAGCCGCAGGTCAATTTATGACCATAATTACAATCTGTAACGCTATAAAACAACTTAGAAAAAGACTTCACTTTTTTTTTTTGCAATAAGGTAACAAGCGAATTGCTTGAAATTTGTTTCGAAAGAATAAAAAAAATTAACAGACATATAAACTGAAATTAGGTATAATATGACAAGAAAATTTGCATGCCTTTATTGATAGATTCGAATGAATTTTAGTTTAAATTTTTAGCAGTTTGTGTACTTCACTCTACGTTTTTTCAGAATTGTAAACTGTTTATAGTTAACGTACAACATTCTGGATTATTCATTGTCAGTTTGAAGCAGATTAAAACAACAAAGACCACAAGGTATTACTTCTAACAGAAATAGACCTTTGAATAAACTAAGTATAGCATTGAGTTGATTAAAGTTGACATAGTAATATTTGACTTCCTCCCAGCTAGAACCTCCGTTCTGTCAGTATGATGGCCCTGTTGCCCAAAACAAAAGCTAAGTCCTCAAGAACTCGTTTTTACTTTTAAGTGTATCTTGATCGAAAAGCATTACAATATCATAAACATGCAAATTTGGGTCCAATTTGTTGCAAGACGCCCACAAGTCGCTATAGTTTCACGCGCGAAAAACGCTCTTAATTTGCATTTTCATAGCGTGTTCCATTATGATTAAGTTTGTATGCCCCGTGTCAAATAATCGTTGGGCGGCTTTGTTTCTTTAAAGCTTTAATTACATAGCACATAGCTTCCCTCTATTCAACGCTAATACGAACTTCATGATAACTTCATCTTCTTTTCAAATCTTGCTTACTTTTACGTCTTCAAGAAAGCTTCAAAAACGTTTATTAGTTTCGAGTGAGAAACCGGCAACAATTAATATTAAAGAACTTGAAGTACTTTGAAAAGCGATTTTTAAACACCAAAATAATTATTCAAGTTTTAATAAGAAAGGCGAAGAAAACATGATACAAGCAGATCTACTTGTCGGTCTTCTTTTCCCCGCCGATCTTTTTAAATACAAATATATATTCTTAATAGGAGTATAAATATTAAGAATGTTTTTAGGTATAATTGGCAGAAATGCCGGAGCCAAACTTGTCGAAAATGTATTTTCAGTTAACTGAACATATCACAATTTCAGAACAGAACGCAATGGGAAGGTCACAAGCATCGACTGGAAAATTATAATGTTTGTTTGAAGAACTAGTGGCCTAATAGTTTCTCACGTCGATTTCTCCAAAAGTAATAGTTCTACTATCATTTTTTGCTTTGAAAACTCCCGTCTTTATTTGACAGCTGCAAGCCAAGGATGCACAGCGTTAAGCTCTTCCGTGGAGTTTAATTTAATGGTAACATACCAGAAAAAACATTTATGTGAAATGTTCAAAAAATTCCCTTCCGTTTGTAATTTTATCTCAGTTGTAATCCTCAATTTTAGCGAAGGTAAACCTACTTCAAGAAACATAAAACTGAGGTCATGTGAGAAGAATGTATAACTTGTGTGTCAGTGCATGGATCAGGCAACACCTTGCGGTTTATCCTAAAACGATGTTTGGGGGTTTGTTGGTGCTAATTTACCCATATCACTAATCTTGCAAGTAGTTAATTTGCTAAATTCCATCAAATCCTTTAATACTCCTTTCAAATATGTTAACAATTAATGTATAAAATACCAGATAAATTTTGAGGATCTTTGATTAGTCTGTTCAAATCTGATAATTCATACAATGGAACCTCGATTTAACGAAGCGCCAAGGAAATGACAAAATTTGTTCGCTACAACGAGGTTTCGTTATATCGAGCTTGTTTTTCACGTATTTTACGATTATTGGGGTAAAGAAAATCGTTCGTTATATCGAGGACTTCCTTTTATAGAAGTTCGTTAAATCGAAATTCTACTGTAGCTAGCTGAGTATAAATCGTGCCAACTTTTTTTAGAAAATAATAAAGAGATCCAGCGAGAAGTATGTGACGCTTTTGTTTTATCAGGTTTATCTGAATCATTCGTGGTTTCAAGAGATAAAATACACCCACCCCTTTTCGGAGTATGAAACCTCGCTTAACTGCTTAATGTCGGAGCCACCGTGCAAGATGAAAACTCGTGCACTCATTTTTCAGACATACATTTCTGTGATAAATCATGAAAAAAATAATATCTCCCATAGTTTAACAGGCAACTCCGAAATACATCAGCCCTTAACTAGTGACCTCTCTGTCTTTCAGATACCCTTTGTATCATCTCTACTGTAATACGTACGCTTAAAGGAAAAGTTTATTCACAGTGTTTGCATGCATTGTATACTTAGCACAATATAGGTTTAAAAAAAAATGGAAATACTATCTTTTGATCAATCAAACTTTATCTTACTTCTTCTCGGCGTGTTCCAACACCGATGCAATTTGTCGATCTTTTATCTTTCCCTGCCGCCATTTATCTGAACGTGGTAGTGTCCAACCAGAAAGCTCTTGCTAATTTGGACACTGCACACACATGTACATTACCTCTTTTTAGCTTAATGATTACCTCTTATCGTTTTTTCTTCTTTTATTTGTAATATAACTTCTGTAAATGTCCTACATAGTTTAAAATAAGGAATCGAATTGAATTGCATCTTGTCACTGGACAATTAAAAAACTCAGTTTGATCCTTGCGCTTTCCATGGTGTACCACCACACAGGAAATTTCTTGATTTCTAGTCTAGCCAACTCTAAGCAAGAACGGTGAAAATTAGATATCATCCCATTTCTGTGAAAAAAAAATACAAACAAACAAACAAAAAGCCAAAAGAAGAAAAAGAAAACTGCTAAGCCTCGAGCTAAGGAGAGGTTTGGAAGGAATAAGGAGCACCCTGTGTCGATGTCCTGACAAGGAATTTCACGCGGCATGTGTATCTGACTACTGCGCGCCTTAATACTCGGAACCATTTATAACTTATAACGGTCTCCAGAGTAAAAACGTTCGTATGCGGAAGAAAAAATAGCCGTCCCGTGTGGACAAAACGTCAAATATATTGTGCAAATTCCTGTGCAATCGCTTAGACCTAGGTCAAACGACGTAATTCACATGTAGCGGAAACCTTCAAAACATGCCTGGGGACACCCCTCCCCCTAACATCAAACTGTAATAAGAAGCCTGGATTTTTAACCACCCGTAAGCGAACAACTCCCAGATTCAGCCTACGAGCAAGCTCTCCATTTCTAGTGGTGAGAGAACGAGCGAGCACTCAGCGAGCTGCGAAAGGCGAAGGAAAGTCAAGCAAAGGGGAGCTCTCCTTTGTTTCTATGCCCCTCGCTCACCTCGTGAGTGACTTCTCTCGCTCCAGGTCCCATTACTGAGAGCTTGCTCGAAGGCTATCCCCTTTTCGAGGTCCGCGTAAGGTAAAATGGACATCAGGCGCGGATCTAGGATAAATACTGACCGATTTCCTAAAACGAGAGCCAAAGGCGCAAGCTTCTAGTGGGGCCGCCCGGAGCATGTTCCCCCTCGAGAAGTTTTTTTGATTTAATTCCTTAAGTCCCCGATCCTGGATTTCTGAGTCATTCAGACAGGAGACTGGCCAGACGTCAACTTGGAAAGTTTTATTTTTATTAAAATTATTTATATCTAAAAAATCTGACCAATTTTTGCAAAGCGGTGGAAACCTGTTTGGATCCCCCGCTCGGACATAACGACCTCACATCGATGACGTCAGGAAAGATTCACTGAGAAAATGGCTTCGTGTGCTTTGAAACATTTCCGTGATCATTTCAGCTTGTCTGGTCATGTTAAAGTCGGGAAGTTCACGTCGAGAGAAGTCAAAATCTGGCAAATTCACGTCGTAGTTGAGCAAGGACGCAAAAAAAGAAAAAAACAAAACAAAACAAAACAAATAAACAAAAACAGGAGTGACGGACATGCAAAGTTGTTGCTTTCAATTGCTCACAGAACCCATTTGTTGCCATTTTTCCAGGGACGTTCCCGTTGTTTCGGTATGTATGGTCTTTTATATGTATTCTTCCCTAAGAGGAGGATAAAACGAATAAAAACTAAAATCTCTTTATAGGAATTCCTCGTAAATTCTATTTTTGGATCGAAAAAAGTATTGCTATAAGTTAAAATGAGTAGCGACTCTTTTCGATGTCAAATTTGTCTTGTTGGCTCCTTTTATAGCGCTTGAGATATTTCAACCTCTTACCAAAGCGGACAGCTACGCACGGTGTCCTCTTTGTAGGGGAAGTTATTCTATACTCAAAATGTCCAAACTAAGGGCTTCAGGTAAACTTTTCTTTCCTCCAACAGAATAAAGTTACCTCAATGAAACAAGCCCAAACTCACACCACCAAAGCGAATTCTGGAAAAAAATGGGGCCTCTTCTCCCTAACACTGGGAACAAAAGCCAAGCAATCATTCTTGTGGAACACGATCAAGTTCTAAAACATGCGAACTTAATACCTGGGGTATTTAATGACTTTTTTTTCCACCCTCCAGGTACCCTTAATACTTTGTCTGATTTTTCATCACATCCTAGTGTTCAAAAAATCACTGAAAAATGGCATCCTGAAAGACTGTCTTCTTTCCAACCAGTCGGCTTCGCCTTAATACAGAAAACTTTGAAAGATCTAGACTCAGGAAGTGCATGGTTAAGTTGATTAATAAACTTATTGGGAGAAGCGATCGGCCACTGGAATTGAAAAGAAGTAAAGTCTCGCGTATCTTCAGATGATGCAACAGATAAGAAAAACTATAGACCTGTTTCTGTGCTTACGACCATGGCTAAATTGTACGAAAAAGTTATTTATGTCCAATTACAGTATATGACTACACTCGACCACACTTACCCCCGAATTTGTCTGGCTTCCTTAATTAAGGGCACTCACGCTGTTCTGCGCATTTGAAGATGACCGAAGACTGGCGTATTAATCTTGCATTGACCACGGCGAAGTAGTGTTGCCATCGTCGTAGTCGATCTAAGCAAAGCGACGTTTGACTCTGTATGTCACAATCTGCTTTTTGCCAAGCCCAAGAGAACATAAAAGGACCTTTATGTTCTTTTGGCCAAGCTTAATGCGTATGAGCGAGGTGTTTAAGGCAAAGTGGTTTAAGTCGTTTAAAAAGATATTTATTATTGAACAGGAGAGGGGAAAGAAGAGAGCCTTGAGGAAAACCAGCACTGACGTCTCTTCACCGTGAAAATGCTCCTTCTATTCTTGACTGTTTGTTGTCGACCCTTAAATGTAGGCGGCTAACAAATCCAGAGCACTATCTACGATTACACCGGGATGATACCACCATGTATACTACTGATACCTCTCCAGCTGTCTTTTTTAAGAAGAATTTGTCACCAACGATGCCCCAAGCTCCTTATCGGATGGCATGGTTCAATCTAAATTATCTTACAATAAACCCAGACAAGACACAAGCTCTTGCCCTTGGTCCTATAGCTTCAAAATATGAATTTGCCTTCCGAATCGATAATGCGTCCGTATCTGTTTTTGAACACTTGACAATTTTAGGAGTAACTCTGGACAAGTTGGTTGTGGGAAAGGCGTATAGAATGAGTGGACGACAGCAGCAGTGAGAAGATCACGTCGCCTTAGCCCCTTCGAAACAATGAAAAGGCTTTACAAGGCATTTATGCTACCTCATTTCGAGCACTGCGCGCCGTTACTCTTAGGAATTGGAAAGGGCCAGTCAAAACGAAATTGGAAGACACGAATTTCTATAAATGTAATCAGAACGTTATTTAATTTGCCCAAATCGTGCTATAAAAAATAGTGATGCATCATTCAGTCCTTAGAATGACAACAGAATTTTCCTATCATTAGTCTTGTTATTTAGGTGTCTCAAAAATGATGCCCCCTAGTGTCTACAAGATATTATTACAATATACGGAAATGCGACAAGTATGATTTGCGATGCTCTGGTGGAGGTGGAGCAACAAAACAAATCTCAACATCACTGGCTTCAGAATTCTTTTAAACATGTAATAAGTCCGATCTGGAACAATTTGCCAGCAGAAGTTTATCAGTCTGAGGATACGACTTTTAAAAAAACTTTTATCCAAGTTGGAACTAGCCTGTGTACAGACGTCCCCCACTCCCTCAGATTTTTTTCTGAGGGAGGGGGGACGTCTGTACACAGGCTAAGTTGGAACTTTCCCTCGACGACATTGTAAATGCTGATGCTCATTATAAATTACAAATGAGTCAATAATATTTTTAATTGTTACTTGTATTTTATATATTTTTAGCTCCTTTTACAAAATGTATCATATTTGTAAATTTTTGTATGTAAATAATGATTATTCCGGTATTTTGTATATATTTTAATTAAATCATCCCTTTTAACATTATATATCTTTTGCAATTTATTTGACTGATCTTTTTTCACGAGCTTTTTGACTCCTGAGCTCCTCGTGGTGAAATAAAATATGCCAGTCTCTGTCTATGCCTTGCTTTTCCTCTGAGGCCTCTTCTTGAGCTGAGTTATTAGCATTTTATTTTCTCCACAGATTAAAATTTTTCTTCTGCCACAAGCTTGACCGGTATATGTGACCAATCCAAATTTCGCTGTTAGCATAGGTAACGGCACAGATCGACTTATAATGGCTAAACGTTAATCCAACGACATTTTGCGCTATGTTCTGCTATATCAACAGAGACTTAACACCCCTCTTGAGGGCTGAATGTGGACCAGGAATGGCTTGTTTTTCGTCCTTAATACAGGGGTTATTATTCTTTGTGTGTTCCTATTAGAAACTATCCAATAACTTTATCATTTACATCACTCAAATTTTCAGTTTTTAGGTTTTTTCGGTGGTACTTTGAGGTCGAGTTCTACGCGATTAACGCGACGGTTTGGCAGAGCGAGAGCTGGTACCGAAAAGGCCAAGAAGATTCCCGCCGAAAATTAAAATTCGAACATTTCTTTTGTTATTTGCCTCTCAACTTTTACGATCCCAGGTTTACATGTCGTTTTTATAACTATAACAAAACGAATATGTTCGTGGAAAAGCCTAAAGAAGAAGTATATGATGTCATAATTAACGAGGTGACTATTTCTCCGTGACTTTTAGGGGAATGAAATACGGAAAATGTTAGTTTCTTCGAACAAGTACTAGATTCAAGATGGCCGCCTTTTATTTTTGCAGCGTGTTTTAGTTCTCGTGTCGATGGATGTGGACTCGCTATGTGCATGCAAGATTCTACAGGTAAGAAACATTAAAGAATGAGCTGTTCACCTATAAACTCTTAATGGCGGCTTGTTTTGAAACGCTCGTTGAAATCTGGCGTTCAGTGCCAAGAGATATCTAGACTCAATTTCTTCAATCGCGGAGCATGAACTCGAATCTTTGTGTCGTCAGGAGAGAATCACTTGTTAGCAGAAATGAAAGGCATGATATGAGCAAATCTCTTCGACTTTTTGAGTAGTTGTTTTTCTGTTAATTGCTTAATTTTGATCAGTACTAACTGCAGCAATTTGTGAAGGGTAAATTTTGAAATTTGTACAGTTCGGGGGTGCCTGGAATAAAGCACCAAGTGATTTCTGATAAACTGCTTGATTCTTCTTGCAATTTGCCTTATATTTGTTGGTAATTCAATGGGAGAATTTCAAATTAGATCAGGGTCACCTGGATCCTTATTTCATACACCACTTCTAAGTATTAAATACTTAAATAGAAATTAAATAATAAATAATAAATTTTATTAATAAATTAATTTATTCAAGTAAGGTAATTTTTAAAATAAATGTAAATAAATAAATAAATATTGACTCAAGCCCAGAATGAAAAGATTTTCGCATAGCCACATACAGTCCAACCTTCAGCAAGCGACCACCCAAAATGTGAAGTCTTGCTGGTTGCTTACGGGAGGTGGTCGCTTATGAGCAAAGAACCACAGAAGGTCTCTTCCTATAAAATGTCTAGACACATACACTTTATGTAAGATACTTTATTGCCTGCAATTTCTAAGTTATGTTACAATGTATGTGCAGTTCCATGTTGTTACCAAAATTCTTCATGTACCCTTAGTAGCATAGTACATCAGAGATTAGACCAAAAGTGGTTGCTTACAATAAAAAACAATAAAAAGTTATTAAATTGTCAGCCCCCGAAAGTAGTCTCGGTCGCTCACAGGAGGAGGTCATTTACGAGAGTTTCCAACTGTCAAACCTTTACAGGAAAAGTTTTGGTGTTTTGGATAGGCGGTCGCTAATGAGAGGTTGTCAACATGGGGGTTTGACTGTAATGAATAAATAATGATTGTTGAGCCTAAGAATTTTAGTGGGGAGATAGTGTGGTGGTTTCTTTGAACTGGCAGCTTTGCTACCCTTAAGACCTTTAATAATGACTTTTGCCCCAGGATGTAAATGGTTACTATTGTTTTCGCAACTTCTTCCTTCTATTTACATGTATGGGAAATGCATGGCAAGACGTTGGTCCATGTCAGGTTTTGTTGACACCCCCACGGGTGGCACTCGAAGGAAACTTGGGTAGAGATGTGCCGCCAAGGTCTTCAAATCCTAACCCTGTTTAAGACAAAAATAGTTCACTTGCTAATTACTGTTTAAGACAAGAGACCTTATTACATGACCTTGATTCAAATAGTTTGTTTGAAAGTAACACCATGGAATTCGATTTATTGGGAAAAAATTATTGGTATCACACAAGTAGATCACTCATTGCCAACCTTCACATTCTTTAAAAGGCATCCAAAGACACCAAATAGTGAGATTGTATAACTTGTTTAAGCCTTAGGACCCTGTAAACAATACCCTGTTCAGTGGCACATACCTGTCTACCAGGTACGCGTAATATATAGGCTCCTGCTGTTTAGGCCAAATAAGAGATTGCCAAGGGTTGACACCACAAGTATGTTGCAGAAAAATACTTTTTACCAACTAATGGCATTTAAGAGGTAGTATTCCTAACTGACTCACATCAAACACCTGTAGCAATGCTGGTAATCTATTTACTGAATGATGGGGTTTGTTTGTTGTTTTATAGTGGCTGTTTAAATGTGACAATGTACAGTATACTATTGTTCCGGTCAGTGGCAAGGAGGATTTAGTAAGAGCTTACCATGAACACTCTGAACAGGTTTGTTAATGCAAACCATTATGATCTTCTTGCCTGCAGAAAAGTTGCACATTTGCTTAAAATCAAGAAGATGTCATTAAATTAAAACTGCTTTTAATGTATCAGTCAACAGGACAAAAAGTATTCATCTTTAGAATGGCTAAGGAGCTTTAAATTAGTTACAACTACAAATGGTTTAAATTATTTGAAGAGATTTTCTTAAAACTCAAAGAAATGTAGCAGATAACATTTTCAAATTTTTGGACTCTGCGGAAATCAACAGCTATCCTAATATATTTTTTCTGGTGTTATTGAAAACCCAGGGTCCAAGTTTTTACATAATTTGATTATACTAATTATATAAATGATAATGGTGATTGAATAAGGGTTTATACTAGACACTTCAAATGCTTCCCTTCACATGCAATATCCGTTGGACAATAACCCCCCTAACTTCTTGGTGTAAGGTACCTCGGCCCTTGAATACTTGTTAAAGAAATCAGTTATATTTTTAAATCTCATGCGAGGAGCAAAAACATGAGTAGAAGCAGTGTGTTATATTTATGACATTGTTTTTGTTTAGTTGAAGCACATTTTTCTTGTGAACTGTGGTGGAAATTTGAACATCCTTGAGATACTGGAGCCAGAGGAAGATGTCATGTTTTATATTGCTGACAGGTACTTGAAAAAGGGTTTTTCCCCCATGGGGTACTCTGGATTTCGAGTGAAGTGGACGATCGATAGAATTTCACAGGAAACTTTTTTAGATTCCCATTTGGGAATTTTATGGGACTTTTTCCCACTACTGTGAAAAACCTGGGACAGGAAATTCCTTGTATGGGAAAATATTGGGAGGTTGATGCCTCGCATGATTACACAAATGGGTTTTTTCTGGGAAAAAGGTTCCACTTTACTATGTATCCCAGGACTGGGAAATCTTGTGAATGCTTTCCCATGTTATTCCCAATCTTGGAAATATCTTGGGGATTATATTCTCATGTTGTTCACAATATTGTGAATAATATGGGAATACTCCCCCTTGTTGTCTCCATATTTGGAGTAAGATAGGGATACATTACCATATAATTCTCAAAATTGGGAATAAAATGGGGATATATTACCATGCTTTTGTAATAATTGGGAATTAACTGGTGTTATAGTACCATGTTGTTCACATAGTTGGGAATGAAATGGGGATATTTTACCATGCTTTTGTCATAATTGGGAATTAACTGGTGTTATAGTGCCATGCTCTTCACATGGTTGGGAATTAAATGGGGATATATTACCATGCTTTTGTCATAACTGGGAATTACCTGGTATTATAGCACCATGCTCTTCACATAGAACTTTGGGAAGAAAATGGGGATATATTACCTGCTTGTTTTTCTCAAAGTTGGGGATAAAAGTGGATATATATTATCATGCCTTTCTCATACTTGAGAATAAAATGGGATATACTATCATGTTATTCTCATAGTTGGGAATAAAAGGGGGATACATTACACTGTAATTCTCAAAGCTGGGAATGAATAATTATTGGGATATGTATTGCCATGGTATTCTCAAAGTTGGGAATGAAATAGAGATAACACTCCCATATCACTCTGGAGTTGAAATCTTTTTCATGGGAATACTTCCCCAAGTTGGTGATATATTTCCTAGATGTCTTAAACTTGTGAATACTATGGAAATACTCCCTCATGTTATTCCCAGAGTTGGGAAAAAATGAAGATATTTACTGATATACTCCCGAGTAATTCTCAAAGTTAAAAACTGAACTGGGACAAATAGTTGATTTGAGACATTCACAGGTGAATTTAGCTCATAATTTATTTACTGTATGTAGTCAAAGGAAAGAAAACATGTACATTTCCTCTTTGAACTCTAAAACTCAGGTTTGTGTGACCAACAATTCTAGTGACTCACTTTAATTTACAGTATTTGGTGAAACTTGACAACATACCAGACTTTTTAATGATTCTCTACCTGATATTGTTTCATTCCTTTAAAAAATTGTCTCAGTTGGAAATTTATGAACAACACACTGCCACTAGACATTATTGATGCCATGACCCAAACCCAAGACATACCACATTTCTCCTGACAGCTAGGTATCTTAATTAAGGAAATTTTAGGTTAGTAGCTCTTAGGCAAGATTGTAATAACCAGCCATAACTAAATATATGGGACTGCTTCAATGAACTCTAACATTCTCAAACAAAAGAAATATGAGGCAGTCATCTGGATTTCCGGTATCTTGAGATTGAACATATCTACAATTAGCTATCAAGATTTTTGGAGTAAAATGTTTGGATACAGATATTTCATCAGTACACATACTACAATCATCACCAAAACTGTTGGGAAGGCTGCTACTTTTAACCTCTTTTTTTCTCTCCTACCCCCCCCCCCCCTCCAACCCTGCCCCATGTTGAGCGAAAAGTTTATGTTTGTGCATGTAATAATTGTTCTGTTATATCCCAACACTGAATAGGGGGGACTGGGGGTATTTAGCAAAAGAGAAAACTCTCTTTTTTACAAGTGAAAATGGACTACTGTTAAGCTGCACAACCTTCCCAACTTAACTTTTGTCTGGGATTGTAGCTGTCATACCTGTAGAGTCAGAACTTTACTCTCAGATCGTCTAAATACACACTCAGTGTAGTGTCTGCATTTCTAACAATTGTTTTCAGGCATTTTAAGACATGATCAGATATTCTTCTGCCAACAGTTTGTACTGATCCACTGGCCCTGTGCAACTCCAGTTACTGAATCCAAAGAAACTTTGTTAACAGCTGTTCTTCCGAGTGTCTCTCGTTCATATCTACCAGGATGGTGATGCTTCTCTACAAAGAAGACTATGTCAACCACAAGTCTTTCCCAATCAATATCTAGAGCTTTGCCATACCAGATATCCCCAGGAAGCTCTCCTTGAATGAGCAACATGTCATCTTTCTGTGGGTAAACTGGAACAATGAGTTCATAAGGAAGGCTCCTCAGTTTTCTCATGTAATCAACAACAGTGGCTGTATTGTTCCCACAATCATACAGCATAACTTTTCTTGAAATATTTTCAGTGGAAAAGAAAACTGTTCTACTGTCAGGTTGCATTTCTACTTTAGGGAAACCATTCCAAAAGTTCACTGCAATGAGCCCATTGCCATCTCTCAAAAATGGCTTTACACTGCCTTCCCCAAGCAACAGACAATTTCCTCCCTCATGTCTAACAGACAAAAAATGGTGAACAGATACCACTTCTTCACTGCCTTCAAAAGTGACAATGATACTATCCTTGCTTGATAGCACCACACCTTCATGGCCGACATTGATCAAAAAACATTTCTTTGTTATTGTGGGAACAGCTGATATTTCAGTTGGAGAAAGTGACAGAGCAGCTGCAATCTTGATGTGATCGTCTCTGGTCAACTGACAAACTCTCTTTGATGAACCAAGTAACAGGGAATGCTGTCCATCCTTGCGGCATATTGCTCTAGCCATCTCCACAGAGCGCACGACACCCTATCAGTAGAAGAGATTCAAATTAAATTTGACACCTAAAGGTCCCCTTATGAAAAACAATAAAACCTTAAAATTAGAAATAGTAACAGTACTGGCAATCTAAGCAGAAAATCTTCAGTTGCAATTTTGATATAGTTGTACATTCTATACACATAGTGTAGCCTGGATTTTTCAGATCTTCCCTTCTTCTCCCTTCAAGCCCCAAATATTTTTCAGCTGCCATTATTAATTCTAGCTATATGGTGAGGTTAGGTGGCAAGCAAATAAGGTTCTTACTTGGTATGAAATGACAACTAGATGTAGGTAATAATAATCTTTGTTGTTTCATGAGGTGTTTTGACCACATAATTATCATGAATTAAGCTGACAAGCTTGTTGAATTTCCCATGTTATCTTCGATATGTCCAGGTGCATGTGTGTTACTGTTAGGTAGCTATGCCCCTGTTCTGATCTGATGCTTCAAGAGTAACTCCCCCTCCTCAGTGCCTTGGGGGCTTAATTCACTTGCCTCGCAAAACTAGCTGATTGGCAAAACCACATAAAATGAATATATATTTTTGCTGGTCATCACTTTTACCTGTAAAAATGTACCAAGTACATGTATCTTACAATCAATTTGCAAAGTGCTCTGTCTGGATTATTAATGGATTCAGCACGTCTAAGCAAATTATTACTACAATCATTATTCTTATTTTGATTGATTAAAAGTATTAAATAATTATCTTAACTCAAACTTTGTGATCACACTCACTGAATTTTATTGCTGTACATTAAGTCACCTCACCTGACTTGTATTACTTTCTTGTAGTTGACTATCATCTTCTTCTTCCAGACTTTTCAGAAACTCCCTACGGGCTTCAGCTTTAGCAAACGTTGCTTCTACACCCTTACAATTGTTGGACCTTTTGATGTAGTCTTTAACGGCCCTTTCGAAAACAGCGCACCAATAGTTATCTGTTGCGGAAAAGTTAATTATATCTTCATGGATGTGCAGCATATTGTGCACTGACACTGTACACATGTCAAGTCCTTGTGTTTCCTCAATTTTTACATTGATTCTTTGGGCCAGCTTTCTGTGCATCTCGATCATTTCATCACTCCATCCATCTCGCCCACTTGTGAAGTGAAGTTCAACAAACCTTGACACAGAGCAAACAATTTCAAGTTCTGTCAAGTTTTCCATCTTTCCTTCTACAATACATTCCAGCATTGGAAAGAAAAATTTCTGAAAGCCCTCGGCTTTCCAGTAGTTTACACCTTTACCTTCCTTTCCAACAGCAACTGGAATTCTTCCATTTTTAAGCTCATTTGTCCATGGAAAACTCTTCAGTTTTTCATCAAGGTAAGTTATGTCAATCAATTCAAGTTCTAACATCCTCTGTGTTTGGTTTTTGCATAGATTCAATAAAACTGTGTGAAAAACATCAATCAACATATGTTGCAAAATGTCAAATCCGTAAAGTGGATACAGGTATCTATGAAAAACACTTGTTCCAGTGAAACCTATCTCAGAGGACAGAGTTTTCCTCACACTTTTTCGGGTTTCATTGTCAACATCATATAGATTATCAAGTTCATGTTGAATGTTTCTCCTTGCCCATGGATAATGGCAGTGATAAAGATTGTTTCCATAGTAATGGCGATTACAGTATTCACTTTGCTGCCCAGTAACCTTGCATCTCCTACAGCCACATTTGCCTTGATTTAAAAATTTTCCAAACTCACATTGACCTGGATGGTCTGCTGTCCAACAAAGCAACAAAACTCTCACAGTTTCCACTTCACGTGGTTCATAGTCAGCTATGGTAACCCCAGGGGGATATGTTACTTCAAACCCATCAATGAAACCTTTACAGAGGTCATGCATAAGTGGTTCCAGAAATGGATCATAAGCTTCAGGCACAGATTGGGAACAGACGTGCATGGGACAAATCCCACGACATAGACTTCCTCAACATGTGTGCGATCTTCTTTACACATATTAGCAATTGAAATTTCAATCGAGCCACAGCTCCTAAGTCCTGTTTTGAAAGGCTGCCAAGCATCCCAGTGACCCACTAGGGCTACATTTAGAGGAGAACCATTTGCAGTTTTCACTTCACAAGGGACTGTCTCCATACACTCTGGGCACTTCACATAAGACAATCCACTTTCAGCCTTTTCACAACTGGCAATACTTTCCGCTGAAATCACAGCTTTACAATTGCCACATCTTCCAGGAAGAAGCCACGTCTGGTTAGGGTCAAAAAACCACTGCAGGTCTACCCATCTTTGGCCATCCCAGAACTCCTTTTTGAGGGGCCAGCTTGAAGACCTTCCAAGCCAGTGTTCTTTCTCCTTCCAATGACTCAGCATTTTTCTGCACATACTTTTTGTCTTGAACCAGTTTTTAACCTTGCTGCTTAACCCAAGATAGTAATATTTAATGTAACCACCGTTGCCACAATGAGGGCATAGTTCATCTTTGCTGCTCATGACACTCCAACTGCGACTGTAGTTATACTTAACACTTGTCTTTCCGCATCTCCGCACCTCTTTCTCTTCTCTACAGATACAAATGTAAAATTCTTTGGCATCTGAATAACCTTGTTCCTCAAGAAGCAATTGGACAGCTTTCCAGTCTTTTGGCCACAATGCCAAGAGAATATCAACATCAATGTCACTTGAAATTGATTCCAAAAGCATTGCTTTCCCATATGCAAGGATATCTTCAAATGTCTTTATCGAGGCTCCGGAATTGTCCATAATACTCAGTGCCTCAAGTACAGCCTTGACAACAAGTTTCTTCAAAGGGTTTACATTCTCAGTATTGCAGTTGTTCGACGCGTCTTTTTCAACTAAATCACTCTCAACATCAGGATTTTCATCCATTTCCAGTACCTCCAGCAAGTCAGTCCTTTCTTCGCCGATGTCCATTCCTTCTTCAGGACCATTTGTGTCCGATCCTCCACCTGAGTGGAAGTTAAACTCAACAGTGCCCGTAGCACCTGCATCTAATAATCGAGCCTCTGACCAATGCCGCAATTCTATGCTTCTTGTCGTAGCCTTTCCCTTACAACGCAAGCATCTGCAGTGCACATGTCTGTACGTTTTTTCAGAACAATTACAAGAGGAAACTTCTCCTCTAGTCCAGGTGTGAACAGCCTCAAAATCCATCTTTCTACCAACATTTTCGCTTGGCCGCCATTTTTTCAACAACCTTCTAGTTCCCAGAGCTTCGCGATTTTTCATCTCGGACCAATAAGAAAAGTTAGAATGATAGAGCGAAAAAGGCGGGAAACAGTGACCAATCAAAACACTCGACAGATGACGACAGTTCAGTATTTACGCGCGCCAACACATAGATTGGTTCTCTTTCTCCACTCCCTTCGGGCGAATGAAATCGGTAATGGCAAGCGAGTTGGTGAGCGAGAAGGAAGATAATCTTGGAAATGACAGTCTTCAAAGTTGTTCCTCTGATGACTACGAAAAAGCTATTGCTAAAGTACGCTCCCTATTCGGAGAAGCGATTCTTGTGGCTCTAGAAAGTAAGAACCGATTCATTGGCTGTTGTCTCTGCCTTTTGCAGTGGGTTATTTGTATTACATGATTTTATTATGAATTGGAAGCCGAGCTTATTACAAGTTAAGTTTGATTGCGTTCTCGTTTCACTATTACAGGAGAGGAAATCAGTGACTGGCAATTAATTACCGACTTAGCGGAAAGAGAAGCCGACGCCCCTATTTTTGCGAAATTAGGTTTCACCTACGGTAAAGCTGTGCGTTTTAAGAAAGAATTCCAAGTAACACATGGCAGACATTTCCACAAGCGGCCATCTTCCCCAGCAGTGCCTGCTTACAAGCCAACAATGGCGGACATGTCATCTATGTCGCCAGAAATGAGACAGCTTCATTTGGTCATGTAAGTTATGCATTATCTGGGTTGTTTCTATATTATAACCTGATAATAAGCAACTAACTTACATTAAATTTCTTGAAGCAAGTTTTCCTCCTCCATTGAACTCGTAGATTTTCAAGTTTTCACCATTTTGCACGCATCCTCACAGCCTTCTAGGAAAGTTATCCTGACCATTATTTCTGGGTGCGAACCATGCGAAAACAGTGCGAAAAATGCGAACTTTTAAAGGGGTACCCAAATAACCTTTTAACATCGAAACAACACAGTTTGGTAAAAGTTCAGTGTTATTCGTGGTTCATGGAACTTCTTATCTATCTAAAAGGCACATTTATCCCATATTTTATTTACAAATTCAGGAGAAAGAGGATTGGTGTACTTGCAACACAAAGATGGGGAAAGAGTTTGCCAAAGTTCAACTCACCAGAAACAAAACAACAGTTGGCAGGATTTGCTACAGAAATCACTCCTGAATGTGGGATACCTGAAATCAATTTTGGTGAAGACGGTATTGCGAGACACATTCAGACTTTCTTCAGTGAACAACGCCGTTACCAAAAGAATAAAAAAACTCAAACACCCTGGAAGGTTTGTTACATTTATTTTTTTAGTACACAGATGCAGGTAGACCAGAGTGTCAATATGTTTTCTTTTCGTTAATGGTAGGTAATGTGAGAACTGAACTGTTGTCAAAGCAAATTAAAGATAATAAGTTTAACTGTAAAAAAAGACTTATGTTTGAGTTTAATTTTAAGTTTGCCACGGGGGTTTTAAGTTGTACTTGCTTCTCTTATTCCCTTGTGTAAGTTTACAGTTAATTTGAATTTCGTTTCATGAGTTAGATTGTTTTGTAATTTTGCTTTAATGACATAACTAAAACATATCAAGTGAAACAGCATGACCAACAGACCCTGTTTTCTCTACACAATTTCAGACTGAAACTGAGTTGAAGGAGAAAAGAAAGAGGCAAAAGGTGGAAGATGTATGTATCTCTTACCAATGTTATCACTTGTTTTTGAATAATATGTTCTATATCGTTAAGCATGTGATTATGGCCAAAAAGATAATTCAATGTCTGCTTTTTCTCTGAATGTTTTCTTAGTTTTTTCCCAGGCTTGACAAGATCTCCAGTGCCAGGGGCAAATAAAGTTCCCTTATCTAGCTTTAATGTAAAGTACCTTTTAGGTATTTTTCAAATTTGTATTTGAAATTTTTATTAATTTCAGTCTGAATTGGAGTTTGTGGTGAAGAAAATCAAGAAGAAAAAAGTGGAGCAAGTATGTATCTGATAGGCCACCCCTTAAGTTTAAAATATAGGAAAATGTTACAAGATAATCTATGCTGGCTATGCATGCCCACTTATATAAGCAACGGGGAACTGAAAGCTATCCAAAGAAGTTCAACCCTCATGGCCAGATGTTTTCATGTAAACCATGAAAATTTCATGAAAACTGGGAGAACCTGTTGATATGATTTGGAAGACGGTTGCTGCAAAGAGTTCAGTTACAGGGACACTTCACTTATCATTTCTTTGTTAACTGTTTCTTTTTATAGTGTGCAAGTGGAGAAGTGACTCCAAGTAGTGCAGGCTCATCAGCAGATGATATCTCTGTTGACGGTGGTGATACTGAATCTGTCCATGAGGATGAGAACAGTGCAAGTGATCATGAATCGCCCCCGTCCACTCAAGCTAACTCAAAAGTTGCAAGTGTGGAAGAAGAGGCTTGGCAATCAAATCTGGCTATGAACCAAGCCATTGTAAAGGGTGTGTTTGGTAAACTTTTAAAGAGAGATGATATTACGCATGTCCTTAAAAAAAAGTTTGCTGTGCAGCAAAAGATGATAACTAATTTAAAGCCCACAGAGCTACTGAATGTATTAGCTAGAAAATTGGTACGCCATAATTATTGCAAATTAAAAGGAGAAGGGAAGAATAAGGAAGATATAATTGTACTCAAAGAAATTTCTTTTTTTTGAACTGCTGAGGCCTTGAAAAATACAGTGCAAGTTGTGTTGATTCTAACATTAATAATCTTGTTTCTGTTTGAATCTGTCAAATTTATAACGTTTGATGAAAGTGATTTTTAGATGATTTTGACCACTTTGTATTTGTTAAAACATATTGGGCATTAAATGAAGGCTCTGACATGTACATTTATAAGATATAAGAAGGCCAAGCTAAAATAATATTATTAGAAATTAAAAATTGATGTACTTGTTTATAAAAAATAAATGTGAATCAGTTCTTGTTACCATGCATTGTTGCAGAATGATCAACTACAGCATTATTGGGGTACAGGGCAAAGAATGCATATGGCCAGGAACGCGAGAACCCATTTACGGGGAAGTGAAAAGCCACATCGGAGAAATAACTGGGATGTTAAAACCTATGTAAGGGAAAATGCTGGGACATTAAATCCCAATGAAAGTGAAATTAATGGGATATTGATATCCCGTAAATTTCCCTTTTCAGGAAAATTGATGGAACATTAAAACCCCATGCCAGGGAAATCAGAGGGATATTAAAATCCCAAGAAAAGGAATTTATTGGGACATTGAAAACCCATGAAGGTGAAATAAGTGTGACAATTAAACCACAATTACGGGAAGTTACTGGGAAATTAAATACCCAGAACAGGGAAATTTATGGCCGCTTAATTTCCCATGTCAGGGAAAATGATGGAACATTAAAACCCCATGTCAGGGAAATCGTAGGGACATTAATATCCCAAGACAAGGAATTTATTGGGACATTGAAAACCCAAGCAAGTGAAATAAGTGGGACATTCAATACCCAAGTTACGGAAAATACTGGGACATTAAATTCCCATGTTTGGTAAAATATTGGGGCAATAAATTCCCACAACACGGAAAAACTTGGGATATTTCTGTCCCATGAATGGGTTTGGTATCATTTTCCCAAATTGGGAAATTCACAAAGAAAACACAATGAAAACCCTGTAATTACCCACTTTATTCACAAATTGGGAATTAACAAAAATTCCCTGTGTTTTTTGGGTTTGAAATTTTAGATTCTGGGATTTTTTTGGGGGGTGGGAAAATTTGGCAAGTATGTTTTTGGGTGGCTTGATTTAAGTGGGGATTTTTTGGGTATTCAACACAATCTAAGATTTGTGGTAGTGTCCGCCTTTCTTAGCTGCATACATGTATTTCTGCGAATAAAGTACAACCAAACTTGTTTTGCTTTCTGGAAACTTTTTAGGATCAAAATGCAGTATGGATTTTCTGTGGTTAATTTTTGGTCCAGGGATTTTGGGGGGGTTTGTTGGAATTATGGCACCCTAGGGATTTTTTCTGGTTTTGATTTTTTTCCCCCGTCCAATCATTCCTGTTTTTTGAAATCCAGAGAATTCCCCCCTGGGGTCTTTCCCGTGGCATTGGGATTAGATCAAACCCTCTAACCTTATCCCTGTCCCTTTGTCATTCACTGACTTACATTGCTTGATCTGATCCACATATTGTTCATGCCTCCTGCCATTTGAACTTGAGAAAACTGAGTTGTTCAAATATTTTGTGATTAAAATAAATTATATATACCATATTTTTTCAATTTATGAATGTTCTGGTACACAACAAATTACAACATTACAAACATTGAAGGGGCTACATACAACTCGATTTAGCTCTACACAACAAAAGAAACCAAAAAAAAGGCAGAAAAGGTAGATAATAACATACACTACATAGACAGAAAAAAAGAAACTTAACCTCTTTTTTGTTAGAAGCTGGTAATGTCTTCCATTTAATATAAGTCATGTTACCTAAAAAATAATTTATGCTCCACCTTATAATCAGAATGGGTTTCCCTCTACAACTGGGACAAAGGATGGTGAGAAATTTGATAAAGTTTGAAAAGGAACACATTATAATCATTAATGTCCTTGAAATGTAGCCCACGGCAATTGGCATTCCTCTCTACATGATATTATAAAGTTTTCCCTAAATTTTCTCGATATCTTCCATCTCCACCATGATTTATTAAAAAAAAAACTCTGCCTCAACATGAAATTGATGCAATTTTGATTTGATATTATATACAGTGGAATCCTGATTTTTTTAACCATCTTGGGAAAGGCAAATTGGTTTGACCGTTAACTGGAAGTTTGGTTTGATTGAAATTATTTATCAGTAATTAATAAAAATGATGGTTTGAGAAATCAAGATTCTTTTGTACAAACACCCCCTGCCCCCTAGTATCAGCCTAGGCACTGTTATCATATCCCAGGCACATCAATAAGTTAGCCTGCGTAGCAAGCGTTTCCGCGCGAGTTCGTCAAGAACGTCGGGACGAGAGCAAAAAAAAGGAATGATAAATTCGAATAATGAATAATAATGAATAATTCGATATGGAAACGCTTCCTACGCAGGCTATCAATGAGTCAATTTTCAGGGGTTGTATGGTTTGTGAGAAATTTTGGATTTGATTGGTACATAAACAAAAGCATTTACCATTTTGTTTTATGTATTAAGTCACAGACCACTGGATCTTGATAACATTTACAACCAGGATCAAGTCAAGCTGTTAATGAAGGAAGGGGAGCACCTTACAATTCCAGACTTTGATGATATCTATGTAGATTCAGAGGTAACATTTTTTTTCTTAAGTTTAGGACCAATATAATATTGTCTTGAATGAGGCTTACAGTAGTCCAGTCTTTTAACTAATTTAATCAACCTACAGGTAAGGGGTATGGGTGGGAAGGTTAATTAGATAAAATAAGTAAAATTTAATAGTAAAATAAGTAATTTTTTTCTAAAGCAATGTCATTTTATTGTGGGTGATACTAAGGGATCTCTTCATTTTTGTTATTTTAAAACTTTTAAAGCTTAACCACTTTGTATTATTGAGATGTACATGGAAGTATGTTAAGTGAGAGATCTCAGAAGTAATTTAAGAGTGAGGTGTTGGTAGGTCAGCAATTTATACAGTAATACAGTAAATGACAACTTACAGAATTTTTGCATAAACAACCTATGTTAATCTGAAAATCATTATCTCTTCATGCATGCACTAAGTACAAGGAAGAAACCCTACACTTTACCTACCCTCAAGTGGAAATGGTGTCTGACAGTGGGCTGAATGGATTAATTTGTACACAGTTACATATTTCATGCCAATACCCAGGCAGAAGTGCTCAGGCACCAACTACTGTCATGCGGTGCTGTGCCATTGCCATAAGTGTGAACATAACCTTACAGTTTCAGGGAATGTTGGCAGTGCTCAAATTGCATGGAAAAATTTCGCATTTTTTTGGTGACTTCAATGTCATATAATTTGATTTGAATGAGGTTGAGAAATGACAAAGGCTGGAAACCTAGCAGGCTGAAGATTTTATGGCGGTGATGTTTGTTCAAGCATAGCATTTACTTTACTGCACAGATTGTTATTTAAGTTATTTTATACATGTCATCATTTTGTTACATTTGTTGGTAGGATGAGTTTGAAGACTCTGATGGAGAAGGATCGGAGCCTTCTTCAAAAAGAAGAAGAACCACTGATGAGGTATAATTATATATTCCAGAGTGGGTGTTATCAACAATTGAACGATGGAGTGCTGATTAGGCTAGGCTTAGAGTATGGTTTGAGGTTAATGCCACTAATTCACTAAATAAACACAACAACAACAGACTGCTTGGACTGTCTGGCAACTGCTTGTAAGGGTAAAGACCTGGTGACGAATTCAACACTTGATTATTTTTATACTGGCTCTTTATATTATTTTAGATGGAAGCTAACTTCTTTGCTTGGTAAACTATTATGTACAGTAGTCATAATATTATTTCCCCTCATCCTCCTTTAGTGGCCAATAACAAATTATAAAAAAAAAATCTTTTTTTGCATTCTGATTTTTATATAAAATTAATTTAATTTGCATTTTTTTATGTTTTAATTTCTAATGTTTTATGTTCTCAAACTCATTATAAACAGTTCATTAACTGTAAACAAAAGAAATCATTGTTGCGATTTTTCTAAGCGATCCCTTTTAATTACAAAAGGTTATCATCAAGGTTTGTTATGATCAAGAAACCAAGTGTTTCACCTTAAAAATTCTACTGCACTGTATTTTTTGCAACCGGCTTCTTGTTGTCTGGATATGAAATGAAAACCTTCCCAGGTGTACAGATATTTATATGATGAAACGCTCCTTTGCGTGTTTGTTTTAACTACAAACATTTCCTTGTGGATGCCTTTAAGACATGGACAGGTCTGTTGGTCTTAAAGATAGAAAACATCATACAATCCCCACCTTTATAATAAGGACACCTCTGTGATGCTCTACACACATGGATTTGTCCTTTTCGGAGATGTCTTTTAGTTAATAAAAGGTTTGGTTTATCTCCTAGGACTCCCCTCTTTCCAAACGCAAGTCAAAAAGACAATGGCACCAGGACAGGTGAGAAAAGGCCTTTAAAATATTTTCGTCACATTAGAGATTGCACATCACTTGAATTTTGAGATTCTGCTTTTTTATTGATTCATTTTAACAGGCAGGAGATTCTCTACCAGTATTATGCGTATGCCTTCCATGGAAGTGCAGTAAGTATTTTCTGACAGTGTGGTTGCTAGTGGCCTTCTCACGGCTGCACGGGAGAAGGCGCCTGGCACCGAAATTTTTTCGGGATCGTTACTTGGGACGTCAGCTATCGGCCAATTTTTTCCCTGCCCTTAGAAAGGGAAGTCCCAGAAGTCTTTGCGAAAGTTACCTCGGCCCACTTTCCTTCTCGTTTCTAAAGTGGCGTATTGCACTATGGGACTGTTTTGGGGAGGAATTCAGACCCAGTTTCCCGTGAAACTTCGTAACAGCCAATCAGCCAATAAAAGAAGTTTATAGAGCTTCTTCAAACCAGTCCCAAAGAGCAACTGGACAGAGCGCCGACCCAGGTCAAGTCAAATTGGCCAATGTGAACGCTAGGATAGGTGAAAAAAGGTTCAGGCGTCGATATCGACGACTGATTGCAGCAATTAAACAGGAGCAACTCATCATTTAAAACTATCATAGCGATCGTCTTGTATTGATATGGTCACTACGCACAATTGCCCGTAATGTTTTCAGCGTTCGTAGCGATCATATATGGAAACCATAACACCAAGCAATGGTGATCATGGAACACTCATTATTCTCCGTATTTTGTAGTGTTTGTTCTTTCCGCTCTCGACAAAAATGCGCTTGAGCGAAGGGAAGAATATCACCACAGTTACATTTATTATTTTCTTTAATTCTGCATCATTGCGTTTTGTTTGTTTTTTGTAATACGCCGTCGTTTTTTCCGTTTCAGGCTTCCCTGATCATGTATGAGTTAGCCTGGAAAATGAGTAAAGACAGCAATGACTTGCTATGGTGGGCGGCAATTGGCTTAACTCATCAGTATCTCTATGAAAAGATTGACAGGTATTTGGGAAGATATTATTTTAAGGTTCACTCACACTAACCCGGATGAATATGAAAACGTGTCATTTAGTCGACCATCTGGCCTTCCATCCTAAAACGGCGTTCTTCGATCACCAAAAGTGAAGCTTCTTGAAAATTGTTTCCATACATAAAGCTTAATTTCTAATTTGAAAACGCTGCTGCATTGTTTGTGTGACGTGTTTTCTTGAAGCCCGGTTAATACGGACATCCGGATAATATGGACACTATGGCATGTCCCCTTGATGTCCGTATTAACCGGGTTCCAGTGTATTGTTTAATGCATGGAAGAAGACATCGATATTCGCACACCCGTTATAACGAAGATATTTCCCCAGTTCCTTGACACTTTGCTGCTGTATCAGGCTTTTTTAGTGTTTCATTCCGATTCAGTCGAAAGGGTTGTTGCTGTTAAAAAACCTACTTCTTCTTGTGTATTTTAGTGACAAGTATGTGTCAGATGCACAAAATCTTCATGAACATGTGATGAGACACAATCATGGGACAGACGAAAATGGAAGCTCCATCAACTGCCTGAAGATTGTATTTGATACAGAGTATCCTTTCTAACCGAAGATGATTCTCTTTGAGATAGTCGAAACTGTTTCTGCATCTGTAGTTCTCTGGAAGTAACATTGGCATCTCTTTGGAAATCTCGAAGCGTTTCGATTTAAACGTAGAAACTGCACACACAAAAAGGCTGATATTTCAGGTTTAATTTTACATAAATGACTGAATTTAGATAATTCCAAATCTCGAAATTTATGTGACATGGCACGGCTGGAAAGTTCATAATCTATAGATTAGAATAAAATAAGGCGTGGCCTTATAAAGCACACGTGCAAAAGTAAATAACGTGTAAATACCATTTGCCTTAATGGTTGGTTTTAGCCTGCGTAGCAGACGTCGAAAGGGGAAGGAGATTGGCGTTTTTCTTCCTCTCATCCTCCCCTTTTTGCGCCTGCCACACAGGCTAAATTGGTTTCTGGTGTTGTCCAAGAACAACAACAACTTTATTCTTTGTCACAGAAATACAAAAATTGGATAGTTTGCCCCACAAATAGCGGGAAAGCTAGTCGTGGCGGGGCAAGACAAGTACATGAATAACACAATTTAGTAAAAACAAAAACCTTAAACTATTAGAAAGCCTTGCAGATTGCAACTAAAAATAACTAAAAATTAAGTGATCTAATTAACACAGCACTTACTGACGTACAATGCATCAAGACAAGGAGTCACTGACTCTTAAATGATAACACAGAAAAAGAAAATCTACTCGTATCGTCAGGAACACTGCTTACGGATTAACAATGTTATTTGGGAGGGTATTGAATCAGAAGTTTTAATATTGAGCTCAAAAGGTTGTGTCCTTGATGTAGCAATCCAGACTACGCCTGTCACTGTATAGACATTGGTCACTTTTTGACAGCATCTGTCACTCACGCTACACTGCCTGCAGGTTTGTGTTCTGTAGACTGTGCCGGGATCTTAGATTGTAGGGACGTCGCGAAAATAAAACAAACCAAGCGAAAATAAGAAGCGCGCAATCTGGGGAAGGGGGCGGTGGCACTGGCGGGAAAAAATAGCACCGCCGCCCACTCTCTCTCCCTAGCGCCCGCGCGTTTTTCGCATTATTTTTTACCGCACGACAGCACTGCTATCTATGAGCCTGGACCAGGCTGACATTTCTGTTAATTTTTAATCCTAGTGCCTCCCTTTTTATGGGTTTTTGTGTGAGAGATATGAAAATTTAGTTGTAAATAAGCGGCTGGTATGCTTTAGGCTTGATTTCCACCGCTCTATCGAGTCCGGTCTGGAGGAGGGCGGTCTTACTTTCCCCAACAGCTGCTGGTAATCAAGACAGTATACTTATAATTTCGTCTATATTTATAGGCGACAGCATAGAACAACCATTCAATGCCAACATGTCTTTTCTTAGGTTCAGAGTTTGGACAATCAAGGGAAAGAAGAAACTTCATGAATTTCTTGCAGACATGGGGTAAAATTTATTATGTGTCTTCTTCTCCGGCTTTGTTCACTAGTTAAAATGGTGGAATATTGTAGTCACCAACTAGCAGTAATTCCTTAAGTGAATGAAATTTCATATAATATATGAACTGTGGGAGAAAAAGTTAATTTAAATCATAATATCCAATTTCATATCTCCATCTTCTAGGGATATATTACGAACTTATCAGGTGATCAGCTCTCAGTTTTGGCTTGATAGGTCAGGGGTAAGGACGCTGCACCGGTATCCTCCTGCAGTCATGGATTCAAATCCCGTTTAAGGCGATTTTTTTTCCTCCGTTTTTTGCAACTGCTCAATTTACTTTTATAACTGTTATGATCTTTCCCCTGAAAAGAAATTGCTAAGTTAGTATTAGTGGACCTTGCATACTCTTTTCAGATGAATACATAATTCACGATCATAGTCTTACTTCAGGGGCTTGTATCACCCCGCCATGAAAACTGCAACAAGGTTAACCCTGATTTCTGATTATTTGAGGAGACTGATTTAGTGTTTTTCTGAACTTACTTTTCCTCCAGAATCCCCCTGGTTCAGAGCCGACAAAAGTTTTATAGCATGGATTTTGATTTGAGGAACAACTTGAAGGGTTGGGTTGAAACATCAGCAGACAAGTTTGGGTAGGCACACTGAACTGTTATTTAAACGAATACCGCACATTAACTCGATTCAACGCTTCATCTCTAGAATCAACGCCGCACCCAACCAGAAGAATACGGGGTTGATAATTATTGGAGGGTTAAAGGAAAAACTTTGTACAACTGTGCACTATCTGCTTTTGACATCTTCCTGTTTTACATACCGCGGTATTATTCGCAAATGATTTATCCATATTTTATTAGTTAAGAAATGTGATTTTTAAATAAACGTCGCCCTTGAATGAACGCCGCATCGGAAACGCTGAAAATTAAATCAACGCCGTAGCGTTTAATCAAATAAAGATGGTATGGCTTTTTGGATTTACTTTACAAAAAAGCAGCATAACCGGTATTAATTATTAAAATTCTGAGTCGGAAAATGGCTGGATTTAAAATAGCAAAAATCAAAATTCATTTGATGCTTATTTTTTTGTAATGCTTTTTCAGGTTGGACGAAATGTCGTACGGATCATTCCATGTTCAATACGGATTTAAAAACAAGGTAACAGGATGAAATATTTTATGTGAATCCACGTAGCTTTACCCTCCTGGCAGAGTCGCTTCTATCTTTCCCTTATCTAGGAAAGATCGACGCGACTCTGCCAGCAGGGTAGTAGCTCTCATGCTGACATGTCAGTCCTTCAATGTATTTTTTTAATGTTGCTTGACTTTGTCATCTTTTCTCTTCAGCTGTGTGCAAGCGATGTTGTTTACGCCGTGAATTCTCTTTTGGAGGCTCCGGTATGATTTAAATCAATGCAGCTATGACTGTTTTCATTTCTTGTGCGCTGTTTAACGCATTTTAACACCACCAAGCATAAGCAAATCAGGAGTTACAACTAAAGAAAATGTTACTTTTTTTATTGTCACAGACTGAGGGAATGACAAAATGGGACAATTTCTTGGAGGCACTTGATGCTCTGTCAAGGTAAGCAGGGAAAGATCAGTCCTGATACTCAGATATCATTACAGCTAACAATAATGCGGAGTGTTAAGATGCCCGATTTTTCTGCGCTTCTGGAGTGGTGGTGGCCTTTTCGTTGGTTTCTCAAAACATAATTTATCACACGGGGAAGAAAAGAAGCCTATAATAGCATTTTGAAAATATCGTTGAGCATGTAGCAGTAGACTGTTTGCAGTTTAAACCCGTCGCCTTAAAAAAGTTAAAGTCATCCCAGCTAGTCTCCTGGTCAGCACTATCGTAAAACAACAAACAAAATATTACGCCCTTGTTTCTCTTGGCTTGCGTATACTAAAACGTTTCCCAGTGGTCCTCTGGTAACTTAAGAAGGAAAATAAGAGGTTGTTGACAATCTTAAGTTGGGAAATTTCTCTTATTGCAGTCAATTTCATCTGTTGACTGAAAATTTTGTGTGGTCTTTAATTGGGAATTCGGTTTAAAGTCCACGATCAACATGCCGTCTGTTCTTCATGCGTACCAATCAGGTGATCTTCAAATGTATCGCTATTTTTCAAAGTTGCCAGCACTAGTACAATGCTTTAAGGTTGAACTCCTTGCAAGTTGCAAAAAGTTAATTCAACTTGCATTGGTTGCTGTGTAATGTCAAAATACAGAGCTGCGGCAAAAACCGCATCTACAGTATCTCTGGGTGGAAATATTTTGCCAAGCATAGTGCTGCAACACTTGGATTATGGCGAAATGAATGGAAGGTTTCCTGAGGTCGGTTATTTGCTGTCGCAAAATTCAACCCAACAGTATTTAGGTCGCTCTGTGCTATCGTTCCGTTCTTACGTTTCCATTATTTATGCTCAGGTCCAACAGTGAAAAGCTTCAAGATGGTATTGAAATGGCAAAAAAGCAGGTACGTCTCAACTTTAGTCCAGTGTATCGAAGATTTTCCATCACGTGTAAAAAAATTCGAAATAAATAAACCTCCATTGGAAAAATCTGTCACGTGACACGCCCTCATATGAGAAGAAGGACGCGGTTCCCTTAAATACATATCGCTTATACTAAAATTTACCCTTGCATCTAAACTAAAGGACTGAGATCGATCTACTAAGCCCGTGAAAAGACATTCTCTTTTGAGCTATGCTAGCCCATCCTCATTGCGAATTACTTTGACAAAAGAGTGATTCAGTTTTAAGGTGCTTGCGCTCAAAACGTTAACTTTTGAATCCCTTACGAAGCGCAACTTCTGTCTCACTAGAAGGAGTTTATTTCTTCTGTCATGCACTAGCCCACCGAAGCAACACAGCAGTTTCTAACTCATTAATCTTATTTCAGTTGATTGCTGTTGTAAATCAAGTACGATCATTAATTGATATGCACCAAGTGATGTGCGCTGGACACTTTCTTTACTCACATCTCAGAGAGGTACTACTCAATAGCACATCTTAAAAACGATATCGGTCACTGTTAACTCGTGTTATTGACTTTATATTGAGGGCATCGCCTCGGTTGAAGAGAGATTAGAGCAGCAGCATTGTGTGAAAAAAATAACTTATACGACTGAGAAGTAGAGGTGGGTAAGGAGGAGATTGAGTAGAGCAGTGATGGCAGGCAGGCGATCTCCTCTACCCGCGGAAAATTATACAAAGAGCGTTTGTTCTTTGTTAGTCTCCATCGCAGCCGCTCGGAACGGAGTAACGCAATGCTCCCCGCGTAGGGGCGGGAGCATTGCGTGACTCCGGGCCGAGCGGCTGCGAAGGAGACTAATTCTTTGTATAATTGTCTTGAGTGGTTCCAAAATTAAAACGTCCTCTCTTAGCCTCCCGTTCTTCAAGTTGAACCCATGTAAAAAGGTCACCAGACGCGGAAGTGGAATAACGATCAGAAAAATTAGTCTGGGGAGATTCATATCAGAAACGCGAAACTGAACGGAGCCTAGGTTTATGCTATTTAAATGGCATTTTCTTACTATCTGCTAGATGGTAAGTTTTGAAAACGGAATAGGAAAACCGTGCAATACCGAGTTCATTGAGCTAAAATGTGTGACTACCTCGCTCTATTGATTTTCAGTACAAATTGCACATTACACATTACTGAGGCTTTTCCCTCCATATTTGCCGCCAAACTATCAGTAGTGTAAACCTCGTCATACTTTAACAGTTACAACTATGAACTTTTCTTGTTGTTGTAGGGCATACCTGACTTGAACATGTTCAGTAAACCAGCCGTTCTTGGAGCTTTAGCGCGATTTGTATTAAGTGCTTATGTCGCAATGGTATGTAGGCGATTTTTTTCTGTTTCAGTCGGCGTTCTTTTCTTTGTGGAATTGAAATTTGGTCGTGAAATATCCCATGATTTAATTGAACATACCGTATTTCCTCGAATAAGCGCCCGGGCGCTTACGGTATTTCAAATTTCAGCTCAAAGAATGGGCGCTTAATCGATAGGGGGTGTTTATTCGATGCAGTGAGAGGGGAGCGGGGCGCTTATTTGATATTAGCCTTGGGGTTGGGCGCTTATTTGGGAGCGAGCGCTTATTCGTCCGTCTCTGGCTACGAATGAGACTTTTTTGTTTACTATGTTCATGTGCTCTTTTTCTTTTTTTTTTTTGAAGTCAAAGAACAAGAAAGCAGCCGCTCTTCCTTTTGTTCTTGCCGCTCCTTTGGATCCAGAAAAAGGTATGGATAGTAACTACAGTAGAACCCCGGTAACTTCTTCTGTTTGTTGAGGCAACGTGGTTGATGAACTGTAGAATCACGCTGTTGCCTTCCCCATATTCATTGGTCTTTATTTAAAGATTAGTGCTATTCGCCATTCTGACAAGGAGGTCAATCTTGGACATATGGACAGAAAATTTCTATCCCCCTTCCCACAAATCAAGGACAAAAAAATGTTTTGGCCGTCTCACGCCTTCATCTTTGGCATTCTATTTTATTCTGCCTAGGATTGAAGCTCGGTGTTGTGTCGAACTGCACAATAGAAAGCTTTAGATTCTGAGAACGAGGTCGACTACGAGTACGAGACTTTCTCATTACTGAGTATTGCACACGCGTGAACCAGTGTCATTTTGGCGGGAAAACGTGATAGCCGTCGTCATTCTACTACGAGTTTTAGCGAGAATGTCGCAGCGGCGGGAACAAGTTATCAAATGTAAGAAGTTTGATAATTTTGCTATCGAGAAAGGGTTTAACCTCCTTCAGTATAAATAACTGCACTAACTTTTTCGGTGATAAAAAGTAAAATGAAACTTTCCGGGATGTCTTTTACAGTTTTTGAAAACACGCGCTAAAACTTTAAGTCAAATCTCGTCCTGACTCGTACTCGTTCTCTTCCTCAAATCTAAAGCTCTAAGTTCAAGTTCAACCTCTCTAATGGTGCTGTTTGGGAACGCATACTTCGCTTCTTTTATCGCCTATTACAAAGTTGCGCGGGAAATTGGGTCCAAATTCGTCTTACGAAACAGTCCCATAGTGCCATTCGACACAACAAAGACTCGGTCGGTCGCATGCGCTAAAGAGTAAGGGCGCTTATCAAAAGTCAGAGCTGGCCAGCCTGACCTGTCATTTTGAAAATGAAGGAGTAGTCTTTTCTCGAAATTTTCACTAAAACTATCATTTCCCTGCATAGCACGTAGAAATAAACTGATCGTGCTGAATAGTACTGATTAATAGAGGAATTCTCTTGATAACTGCATCGGTGTGGCCCGCCAGTTCTGACAAAAGGTATAAGCGCCCTTTAAATTGGAACACATGTTTTGGAGGAGGAGTAACCTAAGACTCGACTTATCCGTGCAAGAAAAACGTCTGTAAGAGCCCCGCTCAGTTCAGTTGTTGTCACTCTTTCAGGGACTTGTCTTTTAGTAGGAATTCCTCCCATCGCTGATGATTCAGGCAAAAAGTAAGTGTGCAAGTACCGTAGTATATCCTAACTAATCTACGAAGTGCCTGAATACAAACGCCGATCACTTCGACTCGTGTCACTTGAATTCGATTATAAATGCAGTGGAACTCCGTTGATATGGCCACCTATGGGCCAAAAAGAAATTGGCCTTATTAACGGGTGATGGTATTAACGAGGGTTTTTTTTTACAAGAAAATCCGGGTATGACCATTTTGCCAGGCGGCCAACAAAAGTGGCCGTAAGGCGAAGTTTCATTGTACTTAAAATGTTTTTATACAGCGTTTCAACTCTCCCGCATGTTGCGTAGAAGGAAAATTTGTGTATATTGCCAGCTCAGGCTCTATTTTTGTTTCGCTTTGTAAATAAAATTCCAGCGGGCAAGTAGTAGAGCGAATACGTAAGAGAGAATGTATGAAAACTGCTAAAATTGATCCTGAACTCAGGTCAGAATTTTAGTCAGGAGAGTCATTTGTAATATTTAACTCTTATTGTGGAAGGAACAAGATACGTAATAAGCATTGTTTTAAAATTGACCTTGAAACTCTTTTCTCAAGTCTTAACCTTCGTTATTGCTGTTTCTCTTTTAGTTTTCTTGGAAAAGCCTTTGAAATGGCTGCCAGTAAAACAAAATCACGGACAATTCACGACCACTTTGACCCAGCTGGTATGTTTAAGTCTCAATTGCAGGTTTAGTTGTATGCATGTTCATTTTAATTGACGTTTTCAACCCCCAAGCTCGCTACTACAAAGGCATGTTGCGTGGAAGACGCTCGCGACTGAGGTAAAAATTCTACTCGCGCGAATGCTAAGGGATCTAAGCTTGGGAGAGAAGAATTTCTCTTCTCGTTGGTGGCCTTTTTCAGCTGTTCAGTGACATCACCGGGACATAAACGAAACAGTAAAAAAAAGGCGCGGGGTCTTTGTTTTTTTCGCTCCGCTCTCTGAACGCCAGGGTGAAACTATTCCTGCCGCTGGGAGTTTATCCGAGCAAGTTAATAAGATGTGGGGGTCAGTAGAGCAGGTTTGACTTGACTGTATTTAAGTCATGGACTAAGTAACTGAACTCTGAAGTGCTTTGCCTTTTGACATAAGCCATTTAGTTGAAAATCTCATGCATCAACACTCAATGATTAGATTTCACCTTGTCGGGGAAATACTCACTCACATTAGAGCTTTGAAACTTGCCTTGCTGTTCTGGTCAGTTGGTAACTTGGCCCATAAGGAGATTTCACTTAGCATGTAATACCGTCTAAAGTTAGTCTCTAGTTTTCCTACTGACAGACTGTTCTTTCTTTTTTATTGTAGTGATTGAAATGAAGAGCGAAGATCGTGGAAAGTTCTTTGATGCCCTATCTGCTCTTCTAATTCCGAAATAATATTCATTGAAAGAAATGATTTTTCATCATGCCCCTTCTCGACGGCAATCTGTAAAAAATCTGTAAATATTAAAAGAATGCTTGAATGAGCGAGTAAGCTGTTTTTCATGAGGAGACGCACTTCCGAGACACCGCGGTCCATTTTCGTCCTTGCTTCATTGCTACTTTCTTAGTCATCAGAGGAATATCATTAGAGAGACTATTGATGGTCAAAAGCCACCTCAATCTCCCCTTGTATGTGAACTTCACCCGCGGCTTCTACCACTGTGAATCCATACCATCGGACACGTTAGTAATTGTGATCTCCGGGTGGGGTAGACTTTTGTGGTATACACTGAGACCAAGTCAAGTCGCTCTCCCCGAAGCCGTGTGTAAACAACTTGGGTATATAGATCGTGTAATGTGAGTGAAAAGCTCTCAAATTTTATCTTATGTACAGTTTTACAAGGAAGGTTAAATTAAAGGCTACAGGTTACCAACCATTCGTTGTGGAATTTTGAGTATTTTGTTTATCGCTTGTCAAGTCGGCTTGAGATCTATTCTTGTGATTTTACTATTTGTCTTGTTATTTGATGGCGCCAGCATCATCAGTTTAAGAAATTGTGGTACTTTCGGTCAAAACTGATTGAGAACAAAAAAAAGGCGGGAAAGCGGGATTTGAGAACCCCTATTGTGGACCCTCTCCTATAGGCAGATGACTTTCCGTGGCGCATATATTAAAGTTCAAGATAGCGCGTTCACTGAAACGTGAAAATACCTTCAGAAGTTTGTCTAATGACAAAAAGACTTCTGGCAGGAGCCCAGAGGCTACAGTCTCTGTGAAATAAGCCTAGCGTTCTCGGACGATTTAACAAATATCATAAAAGCTATCACCACCAATGAGCGCTGGTAAATTTAAGTAACTTGGAGGGAATATTTGACGATATGACAATGTTAACGCCACTGCTTTACAAAGTTTTAACACTATCATTTTTTAGAAAGGTAGCAGTCCATTGAAAACTGAACATAAGTACCACGACGCAAAGCTCTCGTTGTCAGGAAGAATTTTCTCACGGTACTCAACAAAGTTTCATGTGGGAAGGCTCCACCCGGAGGTGTAACCCCTCACTCTTCAAATCTATATTAAATACCATTTTTGACAGAAAAGGTACTCCTTTCGTATACCTTCCACTGACCAATGGTACGCCTTTCACAGACCTAGCTTAGAACGTTTCATCCCCTTTAACTGCTGTGAATTCACTGAGTTTAAAATATCAAAAAATCACAAAACCAAGAAATTGTCTCGACTTTTCAAGAAAATCTTCCATCAGCCTTTGTAGGGTTTTTTACCAACGGAAAAACAGATTTCCCTACCCTTTCATATACCTTAGGCTTGAAAAAGGTACCCCTTTCGAAATGTTACGGGCGGAGCCTCCCCTTCTAGGCCATTATAGGGAGTATCCCCTTCCCCGGTCCCCGGTGCCCGAAAGCCTGAATCTGAATGGTTCAGGTCTTTTGCGTTTCTCTAGCAATTCAAGCATCCTATTCAGGGCAGAAACGCTCCCCTAGGTTGCCCATAGAGCACCTTATCTTCAAAGGAATAAACGCTGTGCGTGGCAATGAGTTTCTTGAAAAGATATTGAGTTTTGTTTACTCTCGTCAGTATTGATCGATCAAACACTCTAATGACTCACCAAGTGGTTTGTAGCCACACTCAGAACAGTGATACTCAATTGTGTCTACGATTAATTAGTGATCGGAATACGCGGTCCTAAGCGACGAATTAAAAACTCAGCGACAAAGAAAGACTTTCCGGTCCTTATTTGACACGACAGTGGATTTGTAAAAATGACCTCCTTCTCTTACTCACTCACTGCTTTGTGGACGAAGTAGGACCGAGAACAATCGAGCCTCAAACTGGTCCCACAATGATTTTATGCATGGCTGAAATCGAATTGAAGCAGGCCAAGATTACTGTTTTATCATGGCTGTATTAATGAAGACGAAATGTAATAAGACAGGACGCTCCATTGCGCGCGCACTTTTTACTTCTGGCAAGAAGCAATCGAAGGATCTCCTTTTTTGTTTTTGAAAAAGCTCAAAATATCACAAATTTTGTCGTAGTAATGATTTTAAAATTGTTAACAAAACTTCGAGTCGTACAGTTCGGTCTGGAATCATGCTACAGTCTCACTCAAAATTGTTGGGACACTTTTGTGTCTCCTTGTCCCCTCAATGTTGGTATACAAGGTTTGGTGACTGAGCCGCGATAAACAACTTTGAGAGGGACAAGGGGAGCACGAGAAGGAAATTAACAGCGTTTGGTCTAAGTGCCCCAACTATTTTTGTCTGAGACTGTAGCTCCTGATTATAAAGACTAAACCAAATCAGACTCCCGCGGAGTTTGTTAATCACTCGTATTGGACTCAGTTCAATTACCATTTTTTAATAGTTTTAATACACCGCTCATCCTTGTTTCTTCGATGTTTGCCCACGTAGTCCCTTCATTATTTAGTAGTCTTATCAATTTTAGGGCCATCAAGCAACCAAATATTTCCCCCGAGAGTTAGTTTCCCTGGAAACTAACAATAAGGGTGGATAAAGACCTGGGGGGAGGGCACGACCGTGATATTTGGACCATATAAGTGTGTGCCGCTGTGAAAAGTAGGATTTTCAGTTCAAGCAGTCAGTAGTCTGGGAAAGGATGTAGAAATCAGAGGATTATCGTCTGAGGAATCATTTATGGCAAACTTATCTGTGGGCATGGCCGGTAGACATAGTATGAAGATTGTTGTCTAGGTAGAGATATTTTGATGCCTGGCTAAAATAGGAAGTCAATTTTCAGGGTTTGTTGGTCAGGGTTCTTGCTAGAGTACCCCTGGACAATTTAATATTCCATCTCGGCGGGGCATTCCTACTCTAAGAAATTTTTATTGAGTGCCAGGGAGCAAGCCCTCCAATCAGGGGGAGTCGCGAGACGTCACGTGTATAAGGAGTCGGGAACGCTAGACAAAGAGAAAAATTAGAAAAAACACTTTGTAAACAGCTCTCGAAATAATCGGAGGCAAGATGCAAAATTTCGAGAGACAAGCATAATTCTTATTGTGGAATGAGGACAAACTTGATAATACAAGTTGAGTTACTTTTTCGTCGGTCGTATCAGTATTAGCTCATCTGACTAAGGGATACAGGAAATCTTGTTTGATGATCCTTTCATAATTTGAAAATCTGTGAGACGTGACTAAAGGCAATAATTTCTCAGCCTTGGCATTCCATTTCTTGATATTCTGATGTCATGGACACAAGTATAGTCTATGGGACTCTGCCGATCGTGCGATAGAAAACGTTGATGTACTAGTACTGTCAGTACTATAAATTAAGGTAGAGATGTTTTCTAGTGTTGATATGTCCTTTGACAGAGTGGAAATAAGATCGTATTGATAGAAGTTTCATCACTTTCGTGATCAACGTTGTAACAACAGAAAAGATAAAAAAAAAACCTTTGACTAGCCATTTGTTATTGTTAAATCACATGTGTCAAATGATACATTTGATGACAGTAATGCCGAGTCATGGTAATTCGCTTTTATTTTTTCTGATTTTTCTACCAAATAATTTTTTCGTTGGCAAGAAGACAGTGAAATCTCAAGATTCACTTTCACAAACTTTCCAAAAGCAGAAGGGCTAATATCTGGGTAAACAATCTCGTTTATTCAAGTTCGCGCGAAAAACAATTGCATAGCACGGAACGTGCGAAAAATCAATTCATTACGCAAGCGTGCATTCAACAATAGCCAATCAGAAGTCGGCACTTTGCCAGCATTGACACGAGCTTGTGATCAGTGTTTTATTTCCACCTTTGTGACTGTTCTTTGGTGGCGCATTAAGTTGATTGAATTTTCGGTAATTGTGGTCTTTACTAGGGATTTTTCTTCATCCAGGTGATTAAGGAGAATATATTAACTCAGGCTGTTTGGATGTTACGTAAATGCACGCCGTGGATTTTTACCCCACGTCGCTTGCGGGAGTCGACAGCTTTGTTTTTGCAGACTGAGCCCGGCAGTTGACCTTTGACGAACTATTTCATGCCCGGCCGTGAGAGGGCTATCTTAACAGAAAAGGCCGGCAGCTGTTATCATCCTCAAGCCTTTCCCTTAGGTGTGAAAAATGGAAGTAAAGGTATGTCTTTCTTGTCAATTTTTGTTAGGCAAACCATGCCATCCCATACGCAGTCTCACCAAACGATAGATCCTGCAGATCTTGATCTTGACTGAAAATCGCTGATTTGTGTTGCAATCGCTGATATTTTTAAGGTGTCGTTTCGTTTCAGTGCTTAAATCTTCAAGGGCTTTAGAAAGAAACTGGCTTGTTTATATTGATGGTGGTACGTTACGGTGCTTCGTTTCACCGGCGTTTCAATAATAAATATTCTGGACATTACAAATCTAGCCTCGATACATATTTCGTAAAATTTCCTTTGTGATGAGACAAAACAAGTAAAGTTATTGGTCTCTCTAGAATTTTATAAATGCGGTAAAGAGCCAGCAGAAAGTTTAATCGAGAACAAATTGCGGACCCGCACTCGTGTTCACGTAACATAAATGAATTTAGGCTTATGCATATTAATTTGTTGAAAGTGCCAGTCTTACAAAAGAAAATAAGCTTAGATCTTGTTGTTGACCTACTAACACACGAATCTATAGCAATGATTGTGTTAATCCTTTTTTTGTCTTCACGGTTTGAGAGTTTTTCGAGAGTTCGTGCAAGTTAGGCTACTGTGTGTTCCAAGTGCCAACTCTCTTTGTGGAGCATTGAATTCAGAATAATTTTCTATGTTCTTAGTTATAATTCGCTTCATCAGGCTAGTGTCATATCTCCAGCTCACACAGCTTGTCTTGTTTTCATTTCTGTCTGCCAGAGAATGTCGCGTTGATAGATAAGCTTAATCTTTTTCCGGATAACTTAACTTTGCACGTCTTTGATTTTATTATTTAGCATTAATTGTAGACAAATGTACGTTGTAGATCCCAAGACTAAATTATTTTGTCCTCTCTCGTCCTCATAAATTTGTTTGAAAGTTCCCCCGTCAGCTCAGGCTTCTTTAAAGTTGTTCCTGACTTATGCCCACTGCAGAAAAACACTGTATTTGCTCTGTATCTGTGTGTGCTAAGTACTGTACATCAGATCAAGTGTAGATCCATAATTTGTTGATCATTGACCTTATCTATCCTTGAGTGTTGTCACATGATGTAAAGCAACTAAGGTTTGTCGTCCAATTGCTATGCACGTACATGTGTTAGTCCCTTTTAGGATATGATGTGGCAAAATAAAAAAGATCATAATTATGATACGTAATCTGATCACTTCAGACAACTGATCAGTGCACTTCTTTAAGATGGACTCGCAAAAAGAGGTGGGACATTGTGCAATATTGCTATGCACGTACATGTGTTAGTCCCTTTTAGGATATGATGTGGCAAAATAAAAAAGATCATATGTACAGAATCTGATCACTTCAGGCAACTGATCAGTGCAGTTAAACCTTAAAATGGATTCACAAAAAGAGCTGGGACATAGAACAAATTGTTTGCTGAATTGTCAATTATCCACCTGCTTGGTCAAACTAGCAGATGAGCCCCTCCCCTTCCAAATATGTTCCCCATTCACAGTGGGACAAACATAATTGGGGCCACTCAACATTCACTGGCCATTCAAAGGTCATGTTTGTAGCAAAGGAGCCTGACTTTGATAGTTTGTCGCACTGTAAATGGTGAGGACATCACAAAGTCTTTCTTTTCTTGAATTTTTAATTTTTTGCACCTTTGATTAAACTAGCTTCACCAAAGGTGAAAAGTTTCTTTTCCATTGAATCAATAATATTCTAGTGATCCCTATCTTGCACATCTCTATGAACATGGAGAATTTTTTTCCAAAGGTTAGTTCATTGAAGAAAAAACTTCTAGATCTGTTAAAGTGCCTTCGAGTTGCTCTTATTCCAGTAAATATTTGGTCTTTTTAATTGTTTTCAACCTGCAAAACAAGGAATATTATTTAAAATCAAATCTGATGGAATGTAAATATCTGGGATTGTACAATACAATGGCTAGCATTATTTGAGATCAGTGTAAGAAATTGTACCATTGTATCATATCAGAAGCCTCTGAAACCCTATCAGGTAGAAATTTTTGGTTTAAAATGCTATGCTGTTTTCATTATGCATCTATCAATGGTTTACCCAGCATGTGGGGGGGTGGGCGGTCAACCCACGGGAATTAGACTTAGTGAAGTGCACGTGGGTAGAGAGTTTGACATCCTGAACATCCCCAGGGTAGGAAATTTGACTCAGCCACCATCTTGTAAAGTGGAGGACCAGGGAATGAGTGATGAGAGGTCTGCCATCTTAGAAAATACCCAGTAATCACTGAATGAGTTTCCCACATTTTGATGTGTTCATTTCTTTGTGAAGGATGACAGAACGAGAGTTAGAAGTATCTTGTTGCTTTTTAAATTTTTGAAGTTTTTTGACAAAAAGCATTTTGTCCCTCGGCATTGAGAAGCAATACTCGCACAAAGTCTCATTTGAAAATATGCTTTCTACTTACATGTTTTCACCAGAGGCTGCCCTGCCACAAGTTTTTGATATAACGGAAAGATAAAAAACTCATACTGGACTGCAGTTACAAACACCAGCCCTTCTATTAGACATGACCCTTCTTGATGATGACATGTCATGTTCTGGCATTGCACATTTTTCATTGCTGTAAATATTGTGTGAAGCAATACAAAGGTACTCTCGGGAGTATAAAATGTGCTAGCCATGCTAAGGATCCAGCTAGAATATGTCTTCTACACTTTGGGAAATGCACAAAGTATACTGATAATATTTCTTTTTTAGAGGTAGATGGACCTATAACTGGGAGCACTTATAAGTGGGGGAGTGTATAAGTGGCAGTTTACAGTATGTGCAGTTAGAATAAAGAGAAAATAAGCTAAAAATACTATGAAACTAAACAATGCACACAGTTGCCACTACAATGAACTCCTTGAACAATAGAAAACTTTTTCCCTGTATTTGCATGGCCTGATATAAGCGCGAGAGGGGATGGGAGAATCCGAGACGGCTATGCAAACCTGAGATGAAGTCCAGGGTTTGCATAACTGTAGAGAATTCTTCCAACCTCTCTTGTGTTTATATCAGGTTATGCTGAAAAAAAATGTAACACTCTTTGTTATGACGCTGATTAAAAGAGAAATTCTCACTAGTCACGAAGTTTTGTACATGAAGTCTTGCTTGTGTAATCAGTTTTTGTTTTGCAAAAAAGAGGTGTTCCAAAATATGGATTTTTCTCACTTAAAATGTCAGCTCATGTTAAGTGAAAAAAAAATTGACACAGCATGTTTTGTAAAGATTTTCCAAGTTTCAGCCGACGAGGGAATGGGTAAATGTTACGTAAAATTGTTGAGTGTTCAACTAAAAAATTTTTTCAAATTCATGCCTGCATGATTATCATGCGAAAAGCAAAACATCTTGACGCCACAACCATGTTTACATACTCTCATGCAAACATGCCTGTCGGCCAATCAGAGTGTGAGTACTATCATAGTTATTTTATGAAGTAAGTCATAATCACATTATGATACCAAGCCCTTCTAAACTGTGAAGTTGCAAGTACATTTATGATAATTTTAATTCTGGCTAATGGATGGGCCAGGTATTAGTTCCTACTTCTGTGGTACACTCATACAGAAATTAAATAAAGCATCATAGTTTTTCAGATTGCTTGTTTTTGTTTCTTGCCTGGTTGGTTCATCAAGCATACCATACAACATAAAAAAATGCAAGACAAGACAAAGCTAAAAATTTTGACCTGTTTTCTTTTGGTAAAAATATTTTAAGTCATACTTGAACTGGAAAATTACATCACCAAGTAGAAAGAATAAGCTAAGGATATTTAATTACTTGTCTCGATATAATGAGAAACAATAATTGTTTCTCAATATATCGAGACACGTAACAATCTCTGTCGAGGGGCATTATGGGCAAACATGCAGTAATAATCAAGAAATAACTAGTTTGTGACCTGGTTTCTTTGGATTCATACCTATCTTCTACTGGATTGTACCTGCCTTTCAATGGATCAACCTCATAATGCAATATTTGTAAGCTTTATTCCATTGGTTTATTCCTCTATGGCATTTGATTAAAGGCACGAGAAATCGTCTAATTATAGAGTTATTTTTACCTGATAAAGAACTTAGGGTTATCAGTTTTGATTTTCATACCAAGAAGAGAAATTAATTATAATTTTAAAAGGAAGTTATTTGCTTTTCTTCTTCCCCAGTGCTATAAATGATTAATTTTACCACATTAGCATTAGCAAGATGAAAGCATATTTAATTTAGCTGCCTTCAATGTTTATCACATTCCAAAAATTTGCTCAGTATGTTTTGTATACATTAACTTAAAGTTTGGTTATGTCACGTGTAGTTTATGTTAAGCGTGCTTTATGATTGAGTGGCTTTCAAAGCAATTATCTTTTTTAATGTTTAATAACAGTTGCATCTGTTTCCTGGTAGAGCCAGCTATTATATATAATGTAAACAAGTCTTCACTAATTAACTCAAGTTATGCAGTCCTTAGTGACCAAGAAGCAGACAAGAATTAAAATCAAGAGTAAATCTGATTTTTACTTAATTATTTCAGCATGATGTTAATCCATTTTTTATTAATTTTCAAATCTCCATTGTCTTGTCATTAGTTCAATTTTTAAGGTTTCAATTTAACTTCCCCATGAATAACTAAAAGTAGTTTATAATTGCCAAGAGGACACTTTCCTTGAAGAAGTTTTTGAAGTCTCACTTGAAATAGATTTGTTTAGTTATAAAACTATCTAACTTTTTTAACTTTAAATTTCTTTTGTTCCTGCCAGGTGCATGTATTGGACTGAAATTGCAACTTTCACACAGATGTGTGACAGTTAATTTGCATCCCATTACAAAGATTTTTGCAGTTAGTTTTTGTCATAAATCATTCAGATTCAATGATGAAAGTGATAGAGTTTCATTTTGTTCATCTTTGTTTAAAATTTTATAGCTGACAATAGTACCTGCATGTCGTGGATTGATTTCTAAAGTCCATTTTTCTTTCTTTACTTTCCCTCCTGCCTTGCTTCATGAGCGCTTCGATCCATTCTTTTCTTATTAGTAATTATCCCAACAAGTTTGTAATTTCCTGTCCGTTAATGACAAATCAGTTCATGTTCAAAAGTTTATCTGACAGTCAAAAGCCATTAACTGCAGGCATTACTTAGCCATCATACACAAACCACAGGTAGTTGTCAAGACCTCATGTGAGGGAAATATGGTTTTTATATGCTTAACAGTTGTTAACTCACAGGTAAGAACAAGAGGCTGAAGCTATTGTGTTCAAGTTCAACTCACTCTGAACTAATAATACAGTGTTGTTTATATTATTTCGTACTGGTTTTGTTTTCAAGTTGCTCCTTGAGGTAATAACTGTGGTTATCGTTCATACATATTACTGTGTTTTTAAAAGCTACCATAACTTCTCTTCTGCCTTTAAATATGTCCAAGATGTTTTCTTCCTATTTGTTGTATTATCCAAAACAACCATATTTTTGTAGAGATGATTGGAAAGGGAATCTTAAACAGAGATTTGTAAGTGATTGTGTTGCTGTATAGTAACTTCCTCCTTCAGATTATTCAAGAGGTATCATATAGGAGGAAATAGGAAATCTAAATCTGTGGCATTTCCATGGGCAAGAAGTTTGCACTTTTGGTAGAGTTTAAAATTCTCCATAACCATTTTCTCTTCCTTTGAGTAATGTAAAATTAAGTGATTTACACACTGCATTAACTCTGCAACAGTAAACACAAGAAGCTTTCTTAGAAGTTAATAATTCACTTACTGTATTTTTGAGCTGAGTTTCCTGAAGTTCTCCTTGCATGCAGTTAAATCACAATTTCTTTGATCTTCAAAGAGTTATATGGGGTGTCAATGTTATAGATTGAGTTACAAGCATGTGGATGAGGACGAGGCTGAGTAATGATATGAAGAATTATGCAGATTGAGGAGGGTGTTTTTTTTACCTAAGCAGGTACACCGTCTGAGATGTGTATAATTCTTTACATCATGCAAAAGCCTGCAAATCCAATAATTAGTGACAGAGTACTTCATTAGTTATTTAAAATAATAATAACATTATTTCCTACTTAATCAATCTTCATAAATTTGACCTGTCTTCTTGACCATTTGTCTGGTTCTTGGAAGTTTTGTCTGTAAGTAATATTCTTCAGTAGTAGTTGTGGTACATTAAGTGGTGATTTTGCTCTCCTTGCTATATAATTATGTTTTACGCTGTAGTTTGGGGATTTTTTTCCATCTCATAATGTGTGAAATCTCTGGTTCTGCCAAAACAGCTGAGCTACCATTGCCTTCCTCTGTCCTCTTTCTTTTGATATTGGAACAATTGATGTCATTTGTAGTGATTTGGTCAAATGTCTTCCAAATTTGGTAAAAGCAGCTGCAGTTATGAAGAATTAGCCAGGGGATTTGAGCAAATCAGAAACCATAGAAATTTTTGAGAATGAATAATGGTCATACCCATCATATCCAGCTTACCTTTTGAAAGAATTATTTAAATGTTATTTTGCAATAATTGTAATAATGACAAAATTTCATGTCAAAGTCATCTGCAGAGGCCTCTTTGTGTAGTAGGGTAAGCGTGTGGGCCAGCTTTGCATCCATGATGTTTTTGTTCAATCAAATTGTGCCATGCACAAATGCATGGGATGTTTTGTTTGGTTGAATTCCATGGAGAGCATTTCATTTTGTTTGATTGTTTGTGCTTTGTAAAGAACATAATTTTGAGCGGTACACTGTACTCTATGACCAGTTGCCAGACTTAATTTTGTGTTCTTGAAAATTGAAAATCAGATACATCTGTAAGAGTAGGATGTTATCTTTTTAGCATCAGTCATTGATCAGGTTGTGGATGAAGATTATATGAAGCATATAATAATTTTATTATGTACCATTGTAAAAAAATGTTGTGTCTTTGTTCTTTCCATTTTTTTCATCGATCTACTTATTATTATAAGTAGCTGTTCATGTTGTCCTTCAGCAGCATAATTAAAAAATGTTACTGTTCTAGCGAGGCCTTAAACGGCTGTTTTAAAAGATAAAACAGCAGTTTAAGGCCTCACTAGAACAGTAACATATTTTATTATAATTAGCTTTTTTATAGTTTGTTCCCCCTTTAATTTCTCAACTATTGGGCAGTTGTCTTTTTAATGTTTCTCTGTCTGTCAGTTTGATTGCCCAGGATCAATAGTCTTTTGCTCTCAGTGTAACCTTAACAGAATTTTTACTAGCCACTGCAACTTAACTAGATTCAAATCATTTAGATTTAGTTCAGCATGAGAAACACCAGTTGACTGAAATGATAGCTTTAAATGCCAGAATATTACTATTTTTGGCATTTTGGTACATGTTCATGTATGTGGCACACTTTTTTAAAATACCTTTGTTGGAATTAAGGCTTTAAAGGATTATTTAAGATTTATCTTTAATAGAGGAAGGGTATAATCTTCCAGACAGACATCTGGCAGACAGATCAAGATATTAAATATTAATACTTTGGGTTTTAAGTAACCGTCTTTTAAAATAATATGTTGTTGTTTTAACACTTAACTTGTTGTCTGATACAATTTTATTACTTTATTTGTCCTGTCTGTTAAATTCATCAAAGTTCATAAATGCTCCATGGAAACCTAGGTCAGCTTTGTTAATTTTTTGTAGAAGTCGTTCATTATGTATTAGACTAACAGTCTTAATTCAGGTTGGGGTGAGGACTGCTTAACTTAACTGTCATCACAGTCATTTTGGTCTGAAAATAGGCTGAAATAATAAAATTAGATTAGGAACGATTGACTAAAACTTTTGGGATAAGGTCTGACAGAATGTGCAGACAAATCCCTGATTTTGATCTGAATTTGTGGGATGGGAAATATAGTATTACTGTGAATCCTGTATTACATGTACCCCCCCCCCCCTGCCCCTCCCCCTAAGTAGAAATGAAAATCATGCAGTGACTCCCAAAGCTTCATTTTTGAGCTTACTGTCTTATAGCCAATAGCTTTATGCTGTCATTGGCGTAAGAATTAATGAATAAATGAGTGATGGCAAGGTCATTTCTATAGCTCTTGTAGCGCATGGCATAAACACGTAACCTTCGGTCCAAAAGGTACCAGGTTCAATATCTGCTATTGCCCTTATCGCCCTATAGAATTATTTTTTCTTCTTCTTCTTTTTCTTGTTCGGAGTAGCATTGCTGGGTTCAAAACCTGGCATCGGCCATATTTTTTCCACGAATTCTGTAGATTCCTTTCTTCTTCTCTTTTTATGGTTAGTGGAGTACCGACTATTCATCACCAATAAGCTTGTGCCCTCTCAGAGGACTATTTTTGATGTAAAATGAACCTGTTTTAAGCTTAAACACCTCTATTAAGCCGGGGAGTTATACAAGATCCATGGGTGACTGTATATATAATGTTCCCATACATTAAACAGGTCACGCTTTCAGTCATTAACATTGACTTAATGATATTATAATATTTAACCATCCAGTGACCCTGGTTCAATTCCTTACCATGGAGTCTTGGCCACACTTAAAAATAGCCAATGGCCAATTTGTCTCCTGTCAGTTATCTTATTTGGTTTAATTGATTTCAGAGTGATGGTGTTGATGAGGAGATGAAGGATGATGTTGATTCTGTGCTGAGCTTGCTTGACAGAATAAAGAAAGAAAAGGAGAAAGCACTTCTTCAAACAGTAAGATTAAAATAATCTTTGTGTAATACATAAATAATAATAATAAAATATTAGATTATTATTATTGTTTATTATTACGCTTAGGTTATCGTAGTGTGATTAATTGAATAAAAAATAAAAATAAATAAAACTGCATTTTGCATTTCTCAGGATGCAAAGTGGTTACCCATAGATAAACCACTGACCTTACAGAGAAGAATCAACAGCAATTTTAAAGGGCAGTGCCACTTATTATTACATGCAGGGATGAAATAAAGTTCTCTCTGGTCCTCTTGCCTTGGGAAAGAGGGCTGCCACTGTAGGGTTTCTTGTTGCTGGGTCCGTGCAAATCTGTAGTCAGGGAATTAGCCATCTAGAAAGTTCCTTTGATTTTGTGTTCCTCTTATTTTCTTTGAGTCATGCTCATAGTAGTAAATCCCCAGTCCCCAGCCCTTTGTGACATGAGCCTTGTATAAGTATTGTTAACCTAATTGTGTCATGTCATTTGCAGACTAATATAATGTAAATAAGTGTATTAGTGGTGATTAATAATTGGACAATAATAATTCCTGATTACCAACAACATTGCATAAAAGAAAATTTAGTTGAATTAACAACAGTGATGTAATAAGTCAATTTACCGCCATAAAGAAATTTCAAAGCTGACATTTTAAGCACTATGTAGCCCTTCATTAGTGTGAATTGTTTCTCCTAGGGTGCTTACTATTAACGCATACCATCCAGGTTAAAATCTTGTGCATAAACATGTGAAAATTAAATTTGATGTTGTGGGAGAAGTACGGCCACAAGGCATATATAAATCAGTTCTCTAGAGTGGAAAAATAGTGTAAAAAAATTTGCATTTCCTCCATCAACAACCCAAATTTTCTGAAGCATCCTAAATACAATGTGAGTAAACCGTTTTATTCAGGTTCCAACCAAAATTTGAGATTTCTCCATGAAAATAGTAAGTACCCCTGGTTACAGGGGTCCAATTCTAAATTAATTTAGTTGTTTTCTTTAATAAATATTACCCTTTCTCTTGGCATTTTCTCAGACTGGATCAAGGCCAGTTCAAGAAAATGGAAGAATCATTCCAGGTATGGTAATCATTGTACTCAATTATTGCAGTCAATTTATATGACCAAAATTATGAGCACATTTCAATGTAAGTAATGTGTTATACTCTGTCATGCATATGATGCATGTACTATGCCTTATTTTCATACGCATCATGAAAAGATTGCCTTAGTTATAATGGGTAATCATTAGAGGTGATTGTTAAATTTAAGATAATTATTTGAAGTATTGTCCAAAAAAAAGAGGCAATTAGATAAAAGGGAAGTTATCACTTAATTTTTAATTTTTGGTATTAAGTAATATGTGTATACATGTATTAAACACATAACAGGGTGGAAAAAATGAGGTGCAGCTAGGTTTTTTTAGGTATAAGTTTAAGGGTGCATTTGATTGATTGTATTCCAGAATAAGAATACGCAAAAGTTTTGTTATAAGTCTTTTGCACCATGAGTATTTGGACCATTTAAATGCTACATACATAGAGAGGAGAAGTTGTTACATCACATTGCCATGGTAGCAAAAATTTTGGATGACAACAAACCAAAATGTCATATAAAAAGTACATTTGCACTTCTTCAAACTTCATTGATCTTATTTAATTTCATTTAATTTGTCAAAAGTTGGTGAAATTTTCTGGGTTAAATCTGAAAGGACCGTAAGTAAATTTAGGAAAAAAAAACAAAATTTTTGTGTTTTGCTCACCTACTCGATAAAGCGGGCGCGTGAAATTAGTTTCTTGTCGTATTGTTTTTTTGCTGTTCGCCGTCACCATTGCAAAAACTCCCTCTTGTTGTCATCCAGAAATTTTGCTACCATGGCAGGGTGCAAAGAAAATCGTTTTTACAGCTTGCCATTCGGGCAAGCTGAAGCTAGCATTTACTAGCCCAGATGTCATTTCAACTAGCCCCAAAAACTTTTTAACTAGCAGAATTGATTTCACAGTTCTTCTGTTATTCAAATTCCTCAAAAAACCTCACTTTCCCATTGGGCAAGTTAAAAACAGAATTCACCATCCCGATAGCAAAATCCACTAGCCCTTGGCTATCGGACAGTACTTTCTTTGCACGCTGCATGGTAACATGACGTCACACTTCTCCTCTCTATTAATATTTTATTTTAAGCAGATTTGTAAGATATTGCAAATTATACAATCAATACTAAAGCAAATGATTTGTTGAGTTTATTCCATTGATTTTTATTCCGGAATACAGTCAATCAAAAACGCCCTAAGACAGGTGTGCTGGGGGTCTGGATTTGTGACATCTCAACGTAACATTTTAAGTACGCAGTGATTTTTTATGAAATTCTGAGCTAAAATTGGCAAACATTCTTTGTAATAATATTGAGATCCAATCTCCAAACCTCCTCCTAGGATGTAATTTTTCTTTATTTCTCTTCTTGATTTGTTTTTATAAGTTTGAAAACCTTTTTTTTTTCCAGATTCAAAGGAGAATGATGTTATTGATGAGCTGCAGAAGAAACAAACTTCTATGGTGATGAATTTAAAGTCTGTGGTCAAGTCAAAGGAGTCCGGTGCAATGTCTGGCAGCTCAGGAGGCGAAACTGCACAAAGTGACTCAGGAGACAACTCTAAAAAGAGAAAACAGAATGCTTTCTTGGTGGAGGTTCAGGAAAGGGCAGAGGTAAGGAACACACTGTACAGAAACAGCTGCAAATTAATGATGAGGTACAAAAGCTAATGGTCAGAGCCACTATGTATGTTATGTTTCAATTTTGTACTTGGTTCAAAACATGTTTTGTTTGTTTCTAACACATTATCAAACGTAACCATACCAAAATTAACAATAATTATATTAATAATAAAAAAATTCAACCAATAATAAATTATTAATACATTATGTGCAGCTGTATACAATTTTCCTCTCAAAAATTGCCAAATAATTGTTTTCTGAGTTTAGTTTACTTTGTTGTTGTTTTGTTTGTTTGTTGTGTATTTGTGCCCCAGTAACACTCTCTAGAATGAACACTAAGGTAGTCCCAGATTTAAATTTATTCATCAAATTGAAATATAGAAATACGTGAAAATTCATAGCTGAACCAATGTTCAAAACTGCTTCTTAAAAAGAATCTCATAAGCAAACATATTACTCGCTTTAAATATAAGGGAGGTGCCGGACTTCCTTGGGAATTGTTATGAATGCATGCAAATTAACTAGTAGCCTGAGTATCAGGCGTTTCTGGGGAAAAAGGGAAAGATGGAAGCGAAAAAGGGAGAGAGCTGAAGAGCTTCTCCCCTTCCCCCCCTCCCCCATCTAAAATCTCCTCTCCCCTTGCCCCTTAGGAAGGCCTGATACTCAGGCTAATTAACTAGTATCCTGAAAATTGTTTTGAAAACAGCAGTGTATCTGTTACAGGTCAAATTTGATTTCAGGTTAACTTTCATTTAACCTAAGTTGATTCTCAATTTCGAATGTCTCCTAGCCCTGGAAGACAAAGGAAATTAAGAATCAACCAAGGTTAAGAAATTTTAACCTGAAATAAAATTTGACCTGTAACATATCCAACAAAGCATTTAGAGGTGAGCCTTTTGGCTGGGGCATCACTATGTGTGTTTGCAGTTATTAGTAAAAGGCGTTCTGCAGATTTTAAGGTGTTGCAGTCATGCAGACATTTTATTTGTTGTACATGCAGGTAATAAGTAAAAGTGCCAGGAAAGCGCCAGAAGCAGTTGTGTCATCAATGGGACAAAATATGGAAGAAGATCCTGATACAGTAAGTGAGCACTTAGCCACAGTCTTGGCGTTAGTGTTAGTAGATTTGGATCGTTACAGTTTTTGTTTCAGTTGTAGTGTACTTGTAGTGTACTTGGCAGTAATAACTTCAACAGAGTGAGGTTGCATTTTTGATAATGGACAGAAAAATAGAGCTCCAGACTCCCGGCCTTTATTCCCACCATGTTGCAGTAATCTTCTTAGCAAATTCAACCATCATTGTATATTTGTGTCGGGCATGGCTACATTGTAGTTTGTTGGTCATTTAATATCAGTGCTTTTCCTAACCTTTAACCTCCCTCATATCATACCCGCTGTTTCAATGGAGGCATGGGAACCATTTCATTACGGATTCCATACTTTTAAAACCTGCAAAACCACAAAGGTTGCTAGTGGAATCTACTGGGTTAAATTAAAAAAACAAAAAAACAAAAAGCAAAGCGAGCTTTTACATAGTCTTGGCATCAGTGTTAGTAGTGTGGGATTATGACAGTTTTTGTGCTGTTTGCAGTGTACTTAAGTCTTGGTAATTATAGCTTAAACAGAATAACGTTAAGGTGTTTTGTTGAAAAAGGATCTTTTTAAACAAATTAATAGAAAAGATAAGAGCTCTTGATTCCTTTATGGCCACCATGTCGTGTTAAAATTTTTAGCAAATTCGACCCCTAGACCACAATATACATGTATATAGGAATCAAGATCTGCTGATGCAAGAGAAAGAAGATTATTCACGTACGCAAATAACACCGCCATTCGGTTCTAAATTTTACCACTTCCAAAGCCAATCGTGCAGGCGCGTACACTCTATTTCAGTTCTAATTTTTTGATTTTTGATTTTTGACGAAATGTAGTGGTATGATCATTCTAATAAAACATCCTTCTCAACTCAAGGTCTTATTTCATTTTTTCCCCTCTTTTACTTACCACTTTTAAAAGTTAGTCGTTACCGTTATTGGCTGGGAATAAAACTAATGTGGGTATTCAGCATTAGAGCGGAACTATAGCAATCTGGCATATGAGCATTATTGTCACTCTGCCCCACCTTCTTATTTGTAGGAACAGTTTTTGAAGAAGATTCGAGCAGCACCTTCAGTGTCAAGTGAAAAGCAAGTGAGTTATTTCAAAACCGTGCATGCATTGTTTTCTTCCTTTTCCTGGTGTTCGTTCACTCACTCACTCACTCACTCACTCAATGTTGTCTCCGACATTTTTTTCCAGCAGACAGGAGTCGTAGAGACTAGAGAACAAAGAAGTAAATCCGCATCAGAGGTTGATTTGTCAGTAGTAGTGTCGGTAAGTAAAGCTTAGAGCCTGCCCATCACGCAGACGGTTTTCTGGCTCGTCATGAAATCCTCCCCAACGAGGGGAAAGAATGCGTTATCAAACGCTAAGAACGTCTGCGTGGGATGCTATCTAGCATGCTACCTTTTCTCTTTCTCTCTTTCTCTTTTCTCTCTCACTCGAAAGGTTGTGACACTTCACTATCTTCCAGTTTACACTCTGCTCCCCTCTCCAAAGTGTATGCCATTTTTACTTACAAAATAGTTATTTTCCTTTCCCTTTTTCCTTGACATGTACAAACTTCCACCCTCTTCCCCGTCCTTCCCCGCTGTATTAAGGACGTAGGATTTGTTAGCTTTCAATGCGCGTCTTTAAATTTTAACTACAACTTAATTTTCAATTTCTGCTCATAACGGTAATGATTCTGATACTCAACGATGGAAAATGTGTGCCGTTTTGTTCCTCTCGTCCAGTGGCCTTTTATTTTGCGTCCATTAGATAACACGCACTTAAAGCTTATTTTTGAAATGTTAGTTCAGCGTATTTTAAATGTTACTTACGTATATAAACATAAAAAGTATCGTTTCTCTTCGTTACAGACTTCGTCGCAGCTGAATTTGGAGCCTCAAAAGTCCAAAATTCCACTCGGGAGATCAGGATCGTTGAAGGGACGTAGGAAACCCACGGCAGCCGCCAGGCGAAAGAGTCTGAAGTCAGGAGTAACAGACGACTGGGACGATACAAATGCTATAAGTGAAGAAGATGACTCGTAAGTCGCTAAAAACCAACTACTTTCTCTTTTGTGGAGGCTTGCTTAGCAGCACGGCGTAGCAGTCGTTTCCTGGTGCGAGGGAGCATGGACCCAAGGAAATGACTCATCGCACCGCATGTTTCCTCGCGCCTCATGCGCTTTAGAAAGAAAAGGGCTGCTACGCTGATAGGTTTTCCCTTTATGCCATTGTTTTGGTGGCTGGAACTAAAGTGTGGTAGTTTGGGCTTTCCAAGAGCGATACTCTTTACTCGAGCCGACAGACTTCTTATACCCCCGAAACATGTTAGTGCATGTGAATATCACGTGTCGTATAAACTTGCTTTGCTTGTACGGGTGGGTTCTACAGCTACTGGTCAGGTGCAGCTACCTGTCAGGTGTTGAGAGTTTTGATTGTGAGGCTTTCTTCCTTGTAGAATGGACGAAGATGAAACCGGAGTGGGTTTGTCAGGCGGGAACTTCATCATAAAGGACCCTCCTCAGATGGGTGCAGGTGGTGAAGTAAAACCACGAACCAAGCCTAAGCCAAAGGTTAAGAGTCAGACGGTGGCAGGAATAGCGCTACCGGGACTCGCTCAGGCTTTAAGCAAGAAAAACCTCCATGAAGACGATGTGGTAAGTTGAATTTTAAAATATCTTCTTGTTTGTTTGTTAGTTGGTTGGTTCTTTTCTTACATGTAGTTTTAAGTCCGTAAGCACTTGTAATTACTTGCGGTTGTTAAAGGCTGTGCGTAGTTTCTCCACGCTACGATGTTAATCAGTTTAGGGCCTGCTGCCTTAAAAAACAAAATGTAATTTTAATTCTATCTTCTTGATTAAGAATTACAATAATCCATTCCACCCTAGCCTGAGTAGAGGTGGCCGAAATTCAGGCGTATTCCACTGAGCACTGTTTTTGTCTTATTTCTGTGGTTCTTGCAAGAGAAGAAAAAGTCTGATAAATCGACAGTAGATGTAAGACACACAAATTTCGTGGAATATTTGGTTTTGTTTAATTCCCATTTTCGGCAAGTACTTTTCTGGCATGACACTTTCTGCTCTATTAAATACTTACTCTTGTAATACAAGAGTAAATGGCCGCTTATTGTACAACGTTTCCTGTTTCTGCAAATCGTACAAATTCCTTTTATTGATTGCTTCGAAATAAACTTAATAGCCTGCGAACGGCAGACGTTTCTCCTCGCTCATCGCCGCTGAGGGATGATGACGTCTGCCGTTCGCAGGCTATAAACTTAATGACCACAACGTTATGATATTCATTCCCAAAATGGACCGTTTGAGAACTATTTCCAAAAGCGCAGTGCTCAAGTTCTACGAAAGCACTTTCGGAAAGAGCACCGAAGAAGCATAATATTGCATGTTATTTATTTTCTTCAGCGTCCTCAGGTTAGTGCGGCAGAAATCGTCCGTGCAGCTGCTGAGAACAAAAAGAATCGAGTAGTCAAGGAAGAAAGAGTGGAGAAAGAACCGGAAAAACCAGCTTGGTTGGTAGAAGCCGAGGCGAGGAGGAAACTTCATGAACAACGGAGACACAATAGAGCAAAACAACACGAAGAAATGGACAACGATAAAACGGCGGAAAGTAAACTTTTGAATGGTGTTGTTTTAAGTCCAGTTACTCAGAGATCCGAACGATTCACTAATAAAACAGAAAACAATGGAACTAGTTTGCCTCACAATGTCATGGTCCGTCCTGTTCGGAAACCCGATCCAGTGCCGACGAGATCCGAAGATGACAGCGATGTTAGTCGGAATGCATTAAACGTCCGCCTACGTTCTGTGCCTAAACAAGGCATTTCAGCCACTGACAGCGACAATGACAAAGAGAACGATAGTATCAAACCTCATAATGTTCACTTACGCCCTATACCGAAGCCAGAACCTGCAGTTAACAATGACTCAACTGAGGATATGCGGGGAAGATTTCAACCCGTGCGTTTGAAACCACTTTTTTATCCAACTGCGCCCACAACTCAGAGGTCCCAAAAAGTTGCGGATTCTGAAGTAGCACCATCCTTAAAATCAGCAGGGACATTATCTGCGGGTCCTGCAGTTGAAGCGTCCGAAGTCGTTCCGATGGCGGTACGAACATCTTCCGAAGTAACGGCTTCCAGTACATTACCTATCAAACCAGTAACGCAATCCTTTTTGCAGACGGTTTCTTCATCTCGTGTTCATGTAAACGACGATGCGTCGGTACATGCCGCCGTGGAAGAGGCAAAATCATCCCCCGAGTTTCACGTCGTTCGTGCTCTTTCGGCGATTACCTCGGAAAAGCGGACGATGAAACGATCAGAACCGAAGGTTGTCGAAGCCTCCTCGCGTCCAAGAGGCGGCTCCATAGTTACGGTCTCGTCTAATTATGTGAGTGCACCGCAAAAGATGGCACCTAAGAAGAAACCAAAACCAGCAAACAGATCCAAAACAGTGACTGTAACCGCATCAGAGGTACCGGATCCTTTAACAGTTAGGAGGAAGAGCGTTGAATTAGTTCATGCCAAAGTAGAAGGTATGGGCACCTGGGCAACCTCAACTGGTGTATCGGTTGGTGACCCTGTGTCACACAATGTGAAGTCACACGGTGATCTGTGGAGAGTCAGGCACGGAAGTGACTCGCGTGACAGGGCAGATACGTTTGATTCGGCCTACAGACCTACCTATACAGGGGAGGTGTTACCGAAATGGAAGATTGACCTTATTCAGAGGAAGAAGAACGTTACAACAAGGCCAGGTATGGGAGTTACTTTTAAATTTTATCGACTGGAAAAATAAGCCTACGAAAATGAGACTACAACCTTCAGAGTCATCAAAATAGTTATTTTATAAACGTAAGCCGTTGCAAATTTTGGGTCGCCTGTATGTTTTCCAAGTTTTAGTACCGGCGATACAGCTTCGTTCCCAGTCCTATCTCTTTGTTATGTAAAGTAACCTGGCATGTTCAATCGATAAAATTGATAATCGATAGACTTCGATAACAATCGATAGTAACTGATTAATTATATCGGAAATTGATAGAAATCGATAAAAGAATTTCTTGTGAGTAATTGTTATTTATCAATTTTTCATTTAGTTTTATCAATAGGCGACGTTGTTATACAGACTTCGCAAGCGACTTTGAAATCTATATTTAAAGGGCAACAATCAAACCTTGAGTAGCGGACACAATTTTTAAATGCATAAACTAAAGATAAAGTAGTAAGTTTTAAGCGATTCTATAACGATCGATAAATCCGATATGTTATAACCTGCGATCAAGTCTTCTTTTTTTGGACAAGAGTGATGGCTCCAAAGAAAAAAAGGAAGGAAGGCCGCCTGATCACAGGTTAATAATGAGACCTTCTTAGCGTGTGAGTATTGATTTCTATCGATTGGTTTTTCGATATCGGTTTCACGATTGAACGTGCTGGGAAAGTAAGAACTTATTGGGGTAGTTATAAGAGTCTCAGGATGGACGACAGTGCCGGCAGTAGGAGGTACTCGCCGATTTTCATCTCGGAGTTCATTTGACGCAATGTGTTAACATTTAATTTGCCCCACTTAGCGACTGGGGTAGATTCTGGTGTTGAGATGTTTTAAACAGGTTTTTTCCCGCCCTTTTACCCGGTACCAGCTCCATATTTTCCCGCGGCTGTCAGAGTTTGACCTGCAAATGCTGGTTATCTTGAGTGTTTAGTTTACCATTTGTAAGGAAAAACCCGTCCCTCTTTGAGCGAAAAAACTATTATTTCAAGGGACGCGCCAAAGAAGTCTGCTAGAGACGTCAAGTGGGCGTGGTTCGATAGATGGAAGAAAAAATTTTCCGCGCATTTAAATCGGATTGGAAAGAGAAGAATACTTTTAAGGTTTTCTATCTTTCCCGCAGAGTGAGTTGTATCAGTTGACATTCCAAACTTTCAGTTCCTTCTTGAGAATGCTTAACGTTTTTTTGCGGTTTTGCCATTTTTTGTCTTTTTTTTTTAGATCGTCCACAACCGACAAATACTTTTAACTCGGTTGTAGTACCACAGTGGAAGAAAGAACTCGCGGAAAGACGAAAAAATCGGCCCGAAACTATTAATGGCGTACAAATGTCCAACAAAGAAAACGAGCCCAAGACGTCACCTGAAATACCGCAGTGGAAGAAAGAAATTGTCGAAAGGAGGAAACGCCGAGAGACATCACCAGTCAGAGTGCATGACAAAATTGATCGGTCTCCGCAGACGCCTGAGTGGAAACAAAGGTTGTCGAACAACCGCCGAACCCAACCGATTGTTATTCCGAGAGGCCCATCGGAAGATTCCGGGGACCAGGTTCCAAGTTTCATGAAGGAGTTCGAGAAGAAAAAGAGAACTTTTCCTCGAGGTAATGAAATGAATGTAAAGCCAGTACCTTTCCCAGCTTCCCGGAGATCTAATTTATCAGTGTTAATACTGAGACGAAGAAGTAACTAAGGCTTGATAGCTTGGTTGGATCGTTTGTCTCGCCTTTTAACGGAGTTGAACGCGCCCAAGCTTTCGTCACGTACCATTCTTCACCCATGGACAAAGTACCGTAAACTTCCTCTTTTAAGCCCTAGGCTTATGTAACTTCGTAAAGGGTTTAGGAGGGCTTATAAGCGGAGGGGCTTATATCGGGGGGGGGGGGGGGCTGCTTAAGCGTTCAAAAAAACGCTACATAGCAGTGCTGATCAAAATACAGTGAAACCTGAATTAAGCGGACACCCTCGGGGAATGCAGTGTAGGGTGTCCGCCTAATACAGGTTTCGATAGGTAATGTCATATGAGGTGTCAAATGCCATTCAAATGAACAGTGGAAACGTTTAGAATATTCCCAGAGACTATGACGATATACGATTGCATTAATTTCTTTATTAAAGTGGACCAATTGATCATAGTACCAAAAACATAGATTGCAACTCAAATTTGAAGAAATCAGATGAGTGAAACAAGTTCTATAGAAACAAAACGAAATAGAAAACAATACAGTATTGTGAAACTAATCAAATAAGTTCGTCAAGTCACGTTTTTTAATGTAAAAATAAAAAAATTTGTCGGTGGCAATCTTTCGTATTTCCGGCGTCTGGCATGTTTAATTACAAGTGTCTTAACACAGGTGGTCAACAATAGAAATGACCATTTCAGGTACTTTTTAGCTGTCCGCGTCCTCTTAATAGAGGTGTCCGCTTAATAAAGGTTTCATTTAAAGTAAATAGGGAAAATAAATTTGGGGACTTCGGCTACTTTCCGCTTAATAGAGGCTGTCAGCTTAATACCGTGTCCGCTTAATACAGGTATCATTGTACTTTTTTTAAGCTTCAAAACCTCGTCACAAATCGAATTCATTACATTAAAAGCTAGAGGGGGGTGTTTTATTCCGTGGGGGTTATGATCGGAGATATTTTTTTGTTTACTGGTAGTTGGGTCTATAACGGGGGAGCCTCATAAGCGGAAGTTTACGGTATGTTGTAAAGTCGCTTTGATTCTTTTCAAAACAGAAATTAAAGAAATTACCTGTTTTCCAATAATTATTATTTTTTCACGGACTTGGTACGAATGTTCTTTCACTCTTACTTTCTGTTCCAGAACTATTACCAAAAGTTGTGGTAGACGTTTTTCAACCCAGCGAAAGTTGACAAGCTTTGTTAGTAAATGGCTCTGTAGCTTCGATTGAATAGACATACTGTATTCTCGCGACCTTTTTCAGCATTAACGTCACCATACATCTCAGCTAATTTAGATTTTACTAGTTGAGTTTAACGGAACAGTTGGGTCGAATGACTTGTTTTCGTATTTTTCACACTTTTACTCTAAAATATCGCCAACATTTCATTGCAACTAAAAATGCCTCAGTTAGTTCACACTGTACAGCGATAAGTGCCACTGGAAAGTACTGTTTAGTAGCTCTTGAATGGTTGCATTTAGTGTTTTATTCATAGTGATGGCTAGAACCACGTTGTTCAGCGCCGAGGAAAAGCGTTTTGTGTAGTTTAAAGGTCTTCCCCCGTTATTAAATTTTTGCCCACAATCACGTCGCTCTTTGTAGCAAATATTTACGTTTAGTCCGGTCGGAGTCAAGTTTTTTGGCAACGCCCAAGCGGAAATATCCGTTTCCGTCACCAATTAGTGGTCAGCAGAATCGTCTGTAAGAGCAGGCGTTTCCTACCCCGTACAACATTGTACGGCAAGAAAAGTAGTCAGTCAGCCTTGATGCAAACAGACCGTCTGTCAGCGTTGATGTAGTATGTTTGGTGCCTTGGATTCTGAGTTACTGTCACACTAATCAAATTTAACCCTTTGTTATTTGCTTTGCAGGAGGAAGCAATGCAAGTTACGTATGACAGAAAAAAAGTTCCGGTTCGTTCGTTATTGAAAGATTTTTTAATATATCAACCCTTCCACTTTAGAAAACGTCGAACTCATTTTGATTAGAAATATTAATGAGACAAACAGGGTTTTTGTCTTAGAATGTTTATACAAGTTTTACTGCGGGAAACTGTGTTATTCCGAAAATTTTTGCTCATGCAAGGCACTGTACAATTTTGATGCACTAGATTTTTTAGCTACTTTATAGTGCCAGATTTAATGAGAGAGATTTTGTGGCTTGGGTAGAGGGGTAAACAATCATTGGATTCTATTCATTATTTAATTACTCAAATTGAATCACCTGAAAGACTTTGCTGAATATGTTATTGTATTTTTGTAACAGGAAATTGCGTTCCTTTATTTTTAAAATTATTGTTCTCTTGGTTTTATTTAATTAGATGAGTAAGTCATGGATCGATGTTATAAATTAGACCCTGTTTACATGGAGTGGGGGACCCCGGTCTAGTGGGGTAGGTTTCTTTTGTTTTGTGTCCCTTAGAGCGTGAAAACAAAAGAAACCAACCCCACTAGACCGGGGTCCCCCACTCCATGTAAACAGGCCCTTAGTTGAATTGTCTAAAAGTGGACTGCTGAAACTTTTTGTACCGTGATTAGTGATGACATTTTTAGCATACCATTATAAAGAAAAAAAAAGGGTCTCTTATCTGTCATGTTTGCATAATTTTGTGTTTACTGCGGTCGACCCCCCAAAAAAACGTTTCGAAAACCAATGCGTGCCAAGTTTTGTGTTGCGAGCCAATCATAGCTTTGGGGTGTCAGTTTCGCGTTTGCTAACCTAGATTTTCCGCGCTTTTTTGCTTTTTCCTGAGGTGCGATTGGTTTCTTTGATTGTTGAATTGAGTTCGTTTCTGCAATTCATATATCATGATATATCTTGGACATGCTGTCTACCGCACATTCAAAGACGCATTATTACTGTGGATGTCAAGTGTTTGTGAGAAAAAAGAGTAGTGCTAATTTCTGGTCATTTTAAGTCTTACATTTTTGTCGATCTGTTTCGCTTTATCTTATAATCTCAAATCCTGATAATTTCCTCGTAATTTCGTTTCTTATAAATTATAAATATCTTTTATATCTCCTGTGAGTGATTTAAAGGAAAATTTGGAAATAAACAACACTTGTTTAATAAGAAGCGGCTGTTTTTGTGTTTAGTTGTATAGCTCATAATCCACAGTCTAAGCGGGCAATTCTCCATATGAACATCTTGTTTGCCCCCCAAAACAAACGGCCATTGCTATGTAGAAGCAGGAGTTTGATAGAAAGTTTAGACCTTAAAACTTCCTTATTAATGTGAGATAAATGTAATTAATCTCATAACATGAGATTCTGTAGCCAGTCAGCAAAGGCCTTGTTACAAACGATGAAATGCCAGCGACCGTAACGCTCGCGGAAAGTATCGAGTCGGCAAGTCCAAAATACCAATCGAGCTTACTCTCCTTTGCCTCTAGACCAAGAAGCTATACAACGCGAATTCGAAGGCAGAGCAAATTTTTAGTGATACCGTATCGCGCGGGGGTTATTTTGGCGGATTTTTTTTTCTTCACTTCCTTGTTTGCACTTTAGTATTCTTAGAAAATGAATATTGCACGGGAGGGGAGAGTAGGGTTATTACGGGCTTTCTAGAGAGGGAGGCGCTAAAACAAAAGAAGTTTTTAAATCGTTGAACTGAAACCTTTCATGGGATTATTTTATGGTTGGTTTAAATTAGATTTTCCTTTGCTTCAGACTTAACAAGCACTATCATTCTACCTTACCGAAAACCAAGGAAGGTAGAGGCGTCCACGTAGATAAAATTAAACCACCGCCTCGACTGAGGTTTGAGTGACGCCGAATTTTTGCGACTTATGTCTCGATGTTTCACTTTCTCGAGACAGGTTCGAAACACGGATCATGTGACGTGCTTTTCTAGCTTCCTCATCTCAATAAGCTTATAATCTGTTGACAAATTAACAAAACTGTCATAAATTCACATTGAGCCTTATAATAGACTATAACACAGAGGCCGTCAACTCAATTGTCCACATGGAATTAAACTTCTCAAACAAAAGTACCTCAATTTTGTAAGATTAGAGCCCAGGATAAGGAACAGTTTCGAGTAACTTATTCTAATTTCAGTTCGAAACCACGTTGTTAACTTCCAATAATGATATGGAAAAAACTAATGGATTGAAAAGCGATGTAAGAAGCCAAAGTTTTCATACCCTGTTAAAAGGCGAACTGAACGGCTTGTGGCAAATATTCCTTTCCGTAACTTCACTAGTCGATAATGTTCAAGCTTATAGCGTGCCTCCTCACGATTTTGTTTGCTTTCAACTGCCGTGCAAACACAATTTTAGAGGAACCACTGGAAAGTTTGTTCCAAGACGATAACAGAGGTGAGTTTTAAATGAAGCAATCGGTACCGAAAGCCACTGTGCCGGCCGGCGGCCGCCATGCATGGTCTCGGACTCTTATTTTATATGCAATATTCCCTAACTTCTACAAATCGAGCTTAAGATTTAAAGATGAGAAGGGAAGTCTGACGAAAGTTTCAGAGTCCCACACCACAAGGCTGACTGCGGAAGGTTTCGAGTCATGGACGGATCAATATCTGCTACCATTCAGAAATTCTAACAAATTTATTCACATTTGAGAAATACTGAACAAAACCCAGCCTGAGAAAACAGCTGACATTTGGCGACACCACCACTGGTTTTCCCGCCAAATGACGTCTGAGAAACGAGCGCAGAAATTCCATATTCCCATATCTTGTTAGTGCTTCTGATTGGTTGAATCAAATTTCCCACGCGGCAGGTAAACCAGAAGCACTACCCAGATCTTGATAGTGACGCTTCATCAGTACGGGATTTCTGCGCTCGTTTATCAGACGTCACTTGGCGAGGAAACCAATGGTAGCGTCGCCAAAAATGTCGGCTGTTTTCTCAGCCTAAACAAAACCGGGTTCCAAAAACGCTAGGATTAAACGTATTTTGGCTCCACTACACACAAAACAACACTTGGAGGTATGGGCGCGTCGGTCAGCCAGGCCCATGAAACACTTTGTTAACGGACGTGAAAAACTCCACTAAACGGTGACTAAATCAAACCCCCCTAACCGCGATCCCTCGCGCGCCTCACTAGAACCCAGCTTTCCGTTCCGTGCCGGTAAAATACTATAATTTATGTCAATTGTAATTTACACAAATTACATTTATCGCCCCTTGTAAGGGAATCCAGGACAGTCTCAGATTCTGGATTCCACTCTTTGTCAGCAGAACTTGGATTCTGGATTCAAGTCGTTAGTGGGATTCCGGACTCGTTGAGCTGTAACCCAGGTTTTCACATTCCAAAAGCAAAACTTTGCCGGATTCCGGAATCCCTTACACGAGCGAGTTTTATCACTCTGATAAACTACGTAGCAAGCGTTTCCGTGTGGTTTCGGAACAAAGAAAGACCGAGGAACGACGAGGAACTGGATTTTCGGTTTTGGCTGCGGTCTTTGACACTCGTTCCTGGTTATTTGCTCCGAAACGGCATGGAAACGCTTGCTACGCAGGTTAGCACTCTGATTTTACAGCTAGTCCCCGACTCTTTTAATACTTCTCCCCTCTTTACTACTTTCTTCTGTTTCTTAGCAGACGAAACTGGGGCAGCAGATAGCAGTCGAAGACGTTATTGTGGTGGAATAACTTACAATCCATCATTTAAAATCTGCTGTGGCGGTACTGTACAATTAAAGTTTGGAACCAGGCCAAGGTGTTGTGGAACCAAAGCATATGACACAAGTATCCAAATGTGCTGTGGCCGCACTTCCGTTCAATATAAGTTATACCGGATGAGTCCAAGGTGCTGTGGGACCAGGGCTTATGACACCTCGTATCAAATGTGCTGTGACGGTATTTCCGTACAATTTAGGTTCGGAAGTACTCCAAGGTGTTGTGGGACCAAAGGCTATGATGCCCGTTCGCGCAAGTGCTGTAAAAATTGGCTCGGCAATAAGTGGGTGTGTGGCATGGGTGATGCTGACCAGCCTCTCATCTCAAAATGAAACTCATTTGGGCTAGTGAAAAGTGACTCTAGAAGAAAAAGCCATTTGCACTAAAAATGGTCGGTAATATTTGATTTCAATATCATGCTTTTGTTCAGAGTAAGCCTTAATGAAGATTAAAACAAATGTAATCATTTGCTCTTAAGTGTCCGCTCATATTAAAAAAGACAAATATTATATTTCTATTAGTTGTAATGATATATACGAACCAGTATCAAGTTGTTTAGAGTATAAGCAAGTAAAACTTACCTGTACCAGGAAACTCTATCTGTCTTAATCTGGATAAAAAACAAAATAATTGAAAAAAGTTGTACGGAAAACGTCGCAGCAAATAAATTGCAGTTTATATCCGGTTCTGTAATGAATTCAACAAGGGCGAACTTAATTAAGTTACCAGATGCAGAGCGCATAAATATTATGATCTTGCAATGGACCTTATATATGCGTATTAAAGTCGAGTCATACCCCAAATACCCGATTGGATTCCAAACAAGATACACGAATACGTGTAGTGTTGACTTACCTTTACTACTACCGATTATAGTGGGTGTGTCACTTGGCAGGAATTCAAGAGCCAGACGCCGCTTGATCAATAGACAACACAATACCAAGAGAAGAAGATGCCAATACTCTACAAATATCTTTTCTAAGAACACCCAAAAAAACAAAGAAGTGAATAAAAAGCCTCCGCCAAAATATTCCCCACGCGATAATTGTCTCTCACTGAAGTGAGTATATTTTTCTCGCCCCTCAATTGTCTTGCGGGTCTATTCAGTTTTCAAGTTTACTTAACTTTGCCTTCAGCTAAAATTTCCTCTTCCTTCGGAGTCGAATTCGCTTTATTATGATCTGGTAATCAACAAAAGCCTCTTGGTCTTCCTGTCATATATATATATGTGTGTATAAACTATAGTGTGAGCTCTGTCGATATTCTACCCGTACCTAATTACGGTGGCCCAGAAGGCTCAAACATGAACAAAAAAGAAACGCAAATAAAAAAGGAAAATGCAAAAAAGACAAATATTTAAAACAAAAACGCAAACAAAAAAGCAAAACGCAATTATAAAAGAAAAACGGAAGTAAACAAGAAACGTGAAGGTCCTGAGTTCTCGCAAGCCGCCGCCACCAGTAGTAGTTTTGATACAGATGCAATGGGCCTATTTCGTGACTACGGTCTCAGCAAACGTGGCGTGGACGTTAGCGATCACGAAGTTAAAGAAATCGCGCAAAGGGAAATATCTGGTTCCGACGAACTTCGAGGTTACAGAGCAGTGTGGCACTCCCCAAGATTGGTAGTGGTCGTGGTAGTGTACGGTGGCCTAGCTTAAATACAAACAGAAAAGAAACTGCAAATAAAAAAAAGGAAAACGAAAATCAAACAAAAGAAAACGCAAATAAAAAAGGAAAATGTTTTCAGCCTTCTGGGCCACCGTAAAACTCAGACACTATAAAAACATAAGAATGTTCGAGGGAGTGAAGCAGTCAGTGACTGAGAATCAGAGGAGAGCATATTCAGTATACCAACAATGGTCAAGCTAGCATTTGCATTTATTGCAGCTGTGGTCTTGTGTTTTTGCGGCAGCTATTCGCTGACAGATTTAAAATACGGAAATTTAAAGGACCAAAGAAGCCGTAGTGAAGCCCCTCATGAGGAGGATGCTGAATTCCAAGATGATAACTTCAAAGATTACGATGGCTCGAAAGAGGAGCAATGTTAGTTCACGGTGCTTAATTAATTCAGTTTCTCTTCAGAAAAATAGAAGCTTCAACGCACCATCACGAGTACGATACTGGTGCAAAATTCTTCTTCTGCCTCTTTTCTCGTGTATGCATTTTGTTGACGTTTTGCTATGGCCTGAGACTTAAGTCGTCTTTGTTTTATTCGCCACTAGATGACATGACAACAGAAAGCAGGCAACGTCGATTTATTAGCGCCAGATGTGGAGGAAAAACCTACAACCCGACATTTCGTATGTGCTGTGGCGGTACAATACAAGTCAGGTCGGGAATACGACCCGCGTGTTGCGGGACTCGAGCTTACGATGCTAGTTTCAGGATCTGCTGTGGTGGCACTGTACAAGTCAGGTCGGGAATCAGACCCGCGTGTTGCGGGACTCGAGCTTACGATGCTAGTTTCAGGATCTGCTGTGGTGGCACTGTACAAGTCAGGTCGGGAATCAGACCCGCGTGTTGCGGGACCCAAGCTTACGATGCTAGTTTCAGGATCTGCTGTGGTGGCACTGTACAAGTCAGGTCGGGAATCAGACCCGCGTGTTGCGGGACCCAAGCTTACGATGCTAGTTTCAGGATGTGCTGTGGTGGTATTGTAAAATTCAGATGCTGACCAGTCTCAAGTGAAAATAGTAGTGATGATAATGATGATGATGATGATAAAGTTAAAGATAAAGATAAAAACAATAAAGATAATAATAATAGTGAAAATAATAACGTAATAATCATAAGACAACATTTCAAGAGGCAGTAGTGATCTGTGCTTTAAATAACCATATTCTGTCTGGAGTCATGAGAAATCAAATAAAAAAGGAAGACGCCCTTAAAATTGTCCTGGCTGCGCTTCTAATTTACAAGGAAACTGGTGTCAGTTCAGTCTCTCGCAGTAGTTTTCCATTATCGAGGACTAAAAATGTTAAACCCCCCTCCACGCAAAAAAGTGTATAGACTTGCTCGAAACTGACGAGACTATATGTTCCAAAATTATAAGGAGTCTTAAAATGAGATTAATAATTTAAAAATTCTTAACAGTAAAGAATACAAAAGGCAACAGCTAAAAAAGCATCAACTTTTCACTGCTGATGTTGACGCTGGCTTAACTAAGGTCTTGAATAAACAAAGTTTCTTTTATCTTACAATGATAATCTGTTTTGCCAGATGCTAAGATTTCAAAGTGATCCTATTTAATGTTATGTCCGGTGGCAGTGATATGGTCAGCAATAGCTGAAGACTGATCATTTTTCTGTTAGGGACTTGAAGTGTTCAATCTTACTGTCATGGAGCCGTCGCTTAGTTTTACCAATGTAAATATCATTACAATCCCAACAGCAAGCTTTGTAAATGACTTTGGATCTTTGAGAGCGATTAACGCGGTCCTTGTATGGAAAGAAATATTTAATACGGCAAGCGTTTCGAAAAAATTAATTATCTTTAAATTAACACAGGAGTAAATCTAGTAAATACAGGATTTTAGGCGTTTAGAAATTTGGTTGCTTTGAAGACCTAAATAAGGTAACAAAATAATAACTTCCTTCTAACGACCCATAGGAACAAGAACATCTCGCTTGTTTCGGTTTCGTTCCAACGCATCATTGACGTGGAAGTTTATTATTCCTTGAGGGTAACCATTCTGAAGAAGTTTTCTTTAATAGATCACCCAGGGCAGATTGTAGCAAAGAAAAAGAGGAGCAAATTTGGTAGCAACGATAATTCACAGTGCGGATTAAGTTTAATAATATGTATTTTCAGTATTTGCGAGGAGAAAGAGTCCCATTTAGTATACTGAAAGACTTGTGAATGTCTTTTCCGGGTAGACAGATATCATAAAGATGGTGTTGGGGCCGCGTTTTACTAGGATATCGAAAAACGGAATTTCTTTGTGATGTTCAAATTCAATGGTAAACTCAATATTGTTGTGACGACTGTTTAAATACTGTAAAAAACTCATTAGCAAAGTTTTTGTTGTTAAACATGATGGTAAAAGTGTCATCAACGTACGGAAACCAAAGTGAAGGCCATGATTACCGAATTTCCAAAGGCCTAAAATCCTGTATTTACCAGTTTTACTCTTGTGTTAATTTAAAAAGGGAGGAGTAGAGGTGATTTTCCCCTCAAAACAACTGCCATATCTAAAACAGGCTCTTTCTTTCCAATTTTTCAAAACACCACCTTTAAATCGCATCCCAAAGATCTAAAGTCATTTACAAAGCTTGTTGTTGGGATCGTAATGACTTTTACATTGGTGAAACTAAGAGACGGTTCCATGTTAGCAAGACTGAACACTTCAAGTCCCCAACAGAAAATGATCACCCTTCAGCTATTGCTGACTATATCACTGCCACCGGACATAACATTAAATGGGATCACTTTGAAATCTTAGCATCTGGCAAAACATATTATCATTGCAGTGAGATAAAAGAAACATTGTTTATTCAAGACCTTTATTAAGCCAGCGTCAACATGCATCAGCAGTGAAAAGTTGATGCTTTTTAAGCTGTTGCCTTTTGTATTCATTACTGTTAAGAATTTTTAAATTCCTAATCTCATCTCCAGACCCCTTGTAACGGTCGGTTAAGATCACTTTTGAAAATGTATGTTAAATAGCATACTACATACACATCATCACATAAAAATGCGAAAACTCACAATGTTTATCACCGCTGTTTGTGTTTTATTTTTTTATCTAACTACGATGGCCCAAGAACTGAAAAGTTTTATAATATAATTTATAATGGTAATTGAATTGAAGGGAGTGCAATATAGTCTGACATCATACGAAGTTCAATTACCAGTTTGTTACAATATATTTATTTGATCTGGTAGCCTGTTTCAGGTTGAAAATCAAAAACAAAAAGGCTTATACGTCTCATTTTGTACCCGACACAGACACGATGCAATATAGAGCGAAAATGGTGCGATTTAAAACAGAAATGATGCGATTTAGAACCAGATGTGATTCGTGAATAGATCACACTGCTGAGAGCCAATCAGATTGCAGGAATCACCAGTGATTTCAAAATGGTATAATAAATGGTGAAAAGTTATAGAATACCTAAAAAAAACAAAGAGAAAAGAATTGTCCAAATCTCCACCGCTGTCAAAAATTAATTTGAATGCCCCCTAGTCAGTTACAGTACCACATTCCAAAACTAGTCGTGCAGAGGGAAGGTATAATTCCAAGACAGAAACGTGATATTTACCATATGAGGTCATAGCCTATAAACGTCTTGCTTTGCAATTATTTATGCGATCAATCTGGCGGCAAAGATTCCTTCCAGCGGAGTTTGGACAGCTGTCACTTGGCTATTTCTGACCAATGAAATTCAAAATGCTCATAACGCACATGAGAAAACTCAAAATGTTCGTAGCTATTCTCAATTTGTGCATGATTGTGGCTATTTAGTCAAGATTGTCGATGTCTAGCCCTAAACCTTTTGCCAACCACTTTCCATATGATTTGCATGATCACTAAAAGGGTAAAAACTGCCTGAGAGACCACAAGTTGCGAAAGCCTTTTCCTTGAGAAAATCCTTGAATCCCATTAGATTGGCTACACAATGATTAGTGAAAAATAAGGCAGTTAATGCAACGATCAAATTTGAGGAAATTGTAATGGTTATGATTAAAGGAGAATTCGGTTTCGAGTAACTTAACTTAGGTTTAACCCTAACCCTTGACTAATTCTAATTTCAGTTCGAAACCACGCTATTAACTTCCGATAATGATATTGTGACAGGGTCAATTTTGGTGTTTTAAATGCTTTTTGACAGTAATTCAGTTTTTTTTTCTTAAAAATCGCAAAGTAATTTAAGTTTGTGAAAGATTTGAACCCAGCAGGAACCATTTCATAAGTAGGTTGAGTTTGATCGTCCGGGTGAACGTAGTCGTGAATAGGACTGTTTTTGTTGACAGTGACCAAGAGCGAAAGTTCTATGTGGGTCTAGTCAAGATTGTCGATGTCTAACCCTAAACCTTTTGCCAACCAGTTTCCATATGATTTGCATGATCACTAAAAGGATAAAAACTGCCTGAGAGACCACAAGTTGCGAAAGCTTTTTCCTTGAGAAATATGAGCTAAGTCAGTTCTTGGAGGCCGCCACCACAACAAATAGACTTGACGCGTGTCTGATTCTGCCATAAATTTTCAGATGACGTTAAAATACGGTATCAACAAGCAGGAAAAATAACTTGCGCTTAGTAAATAGAACTCAGTGTATAAATGCCTTAAATTGTGGGAAAGACGCGAAAGTGAAAGGTACGCGAAAAGAGGGGCGGACCCGACACTATAAAAGCATCAGAATGTTCAAGGGAGTGAAGCAGTCAGTGACTGAGAATCAGAGGAGAGCATAATCAGTATACCAACAATGGTCAAGCTAACATTTGCATTTATTGCAGCTGTAGTCTTGTGTTTTTGCGGTAGCCATGCTGCGAACTTACTTCCGGAAGAACTAGATTCGCTGACAGATTTCAAATATGGAAATTTAAAGGACCAAAGAAGCCGTAGTGAAGCCCCTCATGAGGAGGATGCTGAATTCCAAGATGATAACTTCAAAGATTACGATGGCTCGAAAGAGGAGCAAGGTTAGTTCACGGTGCTTAATTAATTCAGTTTCTCTTTTGAAAAATACAAGCTTCAACGCACCATCACGAGTACGATACTGGTACAAAATTCTTCTTCTACCTCTTTTCTTGAGTATGCATTTTCTTGACGTTTTGCTATGGCCTGGGACTTAAGTCGTTTTTGTTTTATTCGCCACTTGATCACATGACAACAGAAAGCAGGCAACGTCGATTTATTAGCGCCAGATGTGGAGGAACAACTTATAACCCTACATTTCGTATGTGCTGTGGCGGTACAATACAAGTCAGGTCGGGAATACGACCTGCGTGTTGCGGGACTCAAGCTTACGATCCTAATTTCAGGATCTGCTGTGGTGGTACTGTACAAGACAGGTCGGGAATAAAACCCGCGTGTTGCGGGACCCAAGCGTACAATGCTAATTTCAGGATCTGCTGTGGCGGTATTGTAAAATTCAGATGCTGACCAGTCTCAAGTGAAAATAGTATAGTGATGATGATGATAAAGTTAAAGATAAAGATAAAAACATTCGCCCAGGGGCGAAATCCCGAGGAGGCACCCTAGTAACTCGCGCGTATATTAAGGACAGTACTTACAGTTCAAATATACGGTCAGTATACTAGAAAAAATCTCGATTTGCTCGAACAGGGGCCGCGAGGAATCGGTAGGTAATGATGACGTTTCTATTGTTTGCGCCTGCAAGTACGAAATGGTTAGGATGACGTAAAGACAGAAAATCCCAAAGGGACCGCTCAGGTAGATTTTGTGACATTTATTGTGCAGTCATACTTCGATACTCTTTTGCGTTACGCAGTGACATTCTGTGGAGCAGTTGTTTTGAAAGTTATGGACCAAAAGACACTCGTTAAGCGCAGATGAAGTTATAAGGTGCGTTTAACTGTGTATATATAAACACTTGGAAAGTTTGCTAGACAAGAGTTCACAAATCTTTGATTTATATTGGAAACCTTGCCAGACACTCTTTTTCTCTCTTTGACCGGAATAAGACTCAGCCCCAAACAAGCAAGACGAGTGAACAACGGCTAGCTTATCACCAGCAGATTGATGGACAATTACAGAAATGCACCGACAATCAAATTCTGTGCTGACTTATTCCCCACTTACAGATGCCCTTCCGTTATAAAGTTTCAAATAAGACTAGAATGCGCGAGCGTGAATCGATCAAACATCCTTTTTAATAATTTCTAAGGCTTACTTTCCAGTAAATAAAATGAACTGAATGTAAAAAGTGAAAGAGAAACAGCGAAAAATTCAACTTCTAAGTAGATCTTTTCTTATGGTTTAGAATAAAATATTGTCGAAACTGTTTTGATCAAATTTGTGTAAATCGAGCGGAAACTAGGCATGGAACCTTGCGTTTCCTGTATTTATCTCACCTATTGTATGGAATATGTGTGAAAATCTTCATTATGAATCGGTATATTTCAAAGAGCTACACAACGAGCAAGAATACTATTGACCGACAATATACAGAACGGGGGCAGCTGTAGTGTCAACTATTACTAGTAATAATGATAATAATAACGTAACAATCATAAGACAATATTTCAAGAAGCAGCAGTGTTCTGTGCTTTAAATAATCATATTCTGTCTATTGTCATGAGAAATCAAATAAAAAAGTAAGACACCCTTGAAATTGTCCTGGCTGCGCTTCTAATTTACAAGGAAACTGGTGTCAGTTCAGTCTCTCGCAGTAGTTTTCCATTATCGAGGACTAAAAATATTAAACCCCCCTCCTCGCAAAAAAGTGTATAGACTTAATCGAACGAAAAGAATGTAATTTATCAAAAATACAACAAAAACAGCGGTGATAAACATCGTGGTTTTCGCATTTTTATAAACTTGACGTTTAGTATGCTATTCAACATACATTTTCAAAAGTGATCTTAAGTGACCGTTAAAGAAAATGACGAGACTATATATTCCAAAATTACAAGGGGTCTTAGTCACTTTCTATTTTTATGAATTGTCCAGTTTCGAGTTCGCTATGACCGCTGAATTAAAGAAGTGAAGACGCATTTTTTACAGGCTTAGCCTCCATCTGAAGTAATATATTCACAAATTCCAACGAGAAAAAGACCTATTTATTACTCTGTCTATTGTGCATATTAAAATTTTAAACACTTACTTGCCGGAATTTCTGAATATTTTACTAACCCTGTATAAATGTGCCGTTAATGTTTGCATTCAGCGGTAATTTTTAATTCGAAACTGGACCATTGACCCATTTTTTGGATTGAATGAAGAACACTTTACTTTTCATCTGCAGTACAAACATTCTGGTGCGTTTGCTAACTGTAAATATGAAGAACAGTCTTACCCCAAAAAATCAGAAAATGTTCGACTCCATTCTAGTAACTCTATTGAAAATGCGATCCCACTAGAGTCAATCCAGCCTTGAAAATGCGACCCCATCCAGCGGCACATTCCCATTAGCCTCCTATAAGGCAGTACCCCCCCCCCAGGTCAAATCGTCGATTTTTTTAGGCGAAATGGTCGCATATCAAACAATTGTTTTGTGTGGTCACGTTACTAGCGAGCTTAGTGTAACCACAATGACGACGAAAACGGGAAAATAAGCAAAGTAAACAAAAACTCTGAAAGTGCAGCACATTTGCGATCTTCGACACTTTGATTTCGTCCATAATACCCATACAGAGGATCAACCACTTGAAATACACAGTTAAAAAATGCACTAATTCGAGGTTTGGCTATGAATTTGTCCAGCTCAGCCTCAACCTCGTATTGTTGTGAGTGATGACTGGAACGAGATGTGTTGATTGTTTGCAATTGTTATAACAACAGGGTAATGTGTAGTCTAGTGTAGCTATTAGAGAGATGAGGCACTACGTTTACCCAAACAACAGGGATGGGCGTCGTGGTCAAATTTCCTTTCATTTTTCACGTGCTCATTTGTTAATATATATTTTTTTAATATTTAGAGATTGCATTCTGATTGATTCTCTGAACGAGCCATTTGCACGATGACGACATTATACAACAACGACCAAAATACTTTAGTGTTTTGCTTTCTTGTGCAAATTAGGGGATTTGTTATTTAAACCTCGCTGGGATTACCAAATTTAAATATGAAAGGGAAGACGAAAAGGATTCTGGTCGTAGTAGTGAAGTGACGCCATCGTGCAAATAACTTATTTTCTTATTCTTTCATTTTAAAAGTAGTTCAATAAAATTTCATTCTTAACCGAAATAAGCTGGGCTAGAAATAGCACTCTCAGATTTGGGCTTTTTAGGTGCTACTTATTAAAGAAGCACTGGAGTTAGTGTGGAGTCCCAATAGCAGATGGCTCCCAATAAGTGGTGGAACAAAAAGAAACGAAACTTCGAATTCGTGGAATTTCTTATTGCGAAATTTCTTTGGGAGGGTTTGCTCTCCTCACCACTGGAAACTCGGCTAATATATCGTTATCTTTCTTAATTTGTCCAGCCAGTGTCTGTTGATTAATGCGCGATATAAGAAATCGAAAGGTACCCAGTAACAGTTTAAACCTATTAAGCGATATTACTAGTATTCATTCTTACAGCACTCGGTCTTCCTCCATCAAATACCTTCTATATTAAGAAATCTAGGCTAGATATCCAAAAGGGAGCTTTTTCAAGAGTAGGAGCTAAAATTTGGAATGAGATACCAGCATCATTCAGAGAGAGCTCCCAAAAAAACCCTTCAAAACGAAACTTCAGTCTTTTCCTTGTTGATATCCTAATAGAACATGATTGCTATATTGATATTTCCCAAATTACCTCTGCTGATCTGAAAACGCATAAATAGAACTTTTAAAAGTTGCTTCATTCAAACGTAAGTTAATGAAACTGAACTTGTAATGTATCTCATGTAAACTACCAAAAATTCTTTAAGTAATTAAGTCTCCTTTTGTAATTTTAGTAAATATTCTCATTGTAATGTTTTAGTGTGACTGTTCCGCCCAGATTTGCAACTGCTATTTGCGGACCAGTCTCATTTACATTTACCATTTAGGTCTGTCACTCAATTCTGAGCATTTTAGACAGCTCTAAAAAAAAGTGACTGAAATGGCGCTTATGAGCGTAGAATAATAAAAGTGTTAATAAATGTTTGAAATTGCATTTTTAAAAGCAGCCAGTGAGTTGGACAATTCTATTTTCCTTGGCAGTTTATTCCATTCTGTAATTGTCCTTGGGTAGAAGGAATACTTGTAGTAATCCCTAATGGCTGTCGGCAGTGCGTGAGAGTACTCTAAGGAGCGAGTTGAGTACGAATGGCCAGCGGATTCAGAGTTTGGCATCTTCGTGAGAGATTAGCCTGTATTGCATGCATTTTACACAGCATAGATAGGCGTGCTGTGGTTCTTTGTGTTGTGTTGTATATTTGCAAATATTTCTTCAAATAAAATTGGCTAAGTTGAAGTTGAAGGAGGCCGGGAGTTGGGGGATTATTGAAGACGGGGAACGTGTATTAAAAACTGGATAGGCAACCCTTAGTAATTCATTTTATTTCATAAACAGTATTACTGAATAGTCAGTGAACAATATTGGGTGAAAACAACAGTGATTCTTTACTTGTAATGTAAAATGAGTTTTGCAAGAAAACTAGAGCTACCGTACCCACTACACTGAAATTGACAATCAGCTTGAAAACAAAACTAAAATGGAGATTCTTTTCCAGTCGTACACTACGTATTCACGATACATCGAACGATATGATTCGCTTACACCAGAGGAGGCTCCTGGCCGTCGTGCAAAGCCACCCTCCCTCACCCCCTCCTCCCGACACTCCCACACACCTGCTGCGTGAAAAGAAAATGAGACTCCGGGAACGAGATTGTTGCACGTCCCTTGAAGCATGAGAGGATGGGGACAAGAGATACCCCGGGAACGAGGTTGATTTAGAGCATAATGACTATGACGTCATGTTCCTAGATGAGATACAGCATGAGAAACTACAATTTTACATCAGTTTGAGTTTCTGTTTCTGAGTCAGGAGCCGATTCTGTTTTGTGTTCCTTGTTTGGGGTTTTGTATTTCCATTTAGAGATTTATGTATCTGTTTCGGGTTTTGGGTTTTCGATTTTGCTTGTATGCTTTTTTTTTAGGGTTTTACATCAACGAAAACTTTCAGTTTTTTTTAAATTGTATGATTCTATTTTGTATTTTGTGATTCTGGTTCTTGTGCTTCCGTTTTGGAATCTATGTTTCTGTTTTGGATTGGTTTTTCTTTTTGGGTTTTGTGGTATGTATTTTCCTTATCGGCCACCATATATTTGACCGCCGTTTATCTGTAAATCTATCCACTAGAGGAAACTTAACTCGGTTAAGCATTTCTTGACAATTCAGATAGGAAAAAGGCTCAGTTATCTCAGAATCAGTAAGCAGGTATCTCATATGTCATATGTGCTTTATTTTTTGCTTCTCTTGTTTAATTTAAAAGTAATTAACTTGTGATTTAG